AGAGGGGGGAGAGAAGGTGGAGGTGGGATAAGAAAGTGGAAGAGAAGGAGGGAAGGAGGAGGAAGAGGAGGGGGGACAAAGTGGATGCATGCTACTCCTACCACCACTAACTTAACTACGGAGTGTACGGAGTAGGTAGTCTAGTTAGTGGAAGGGTAACAAGGTCAGCAGCCCTAGACCAGTCCCAGCGTTGTTTAACTTACATGAATCCTCAGTTCTGATTGTATCTGGCACGCTGTAAGTCACCTTACCGGATTAAGGAAGGTAGGGAGGGCAAAACAAAAAAAAAAAAAAAAAAAAAAAAGAAAAGAAAAAAAAAAAAAGAAAAAGGATTTTTGAAGAGGGGTGGAAAGTGTAGAAGTTCGGTCTTGGGAATAATACGTGCCTGCTAACTCCGTCGCGACGAAAGCCCCATATCAGATCCAATAATAAGTTGGGTTTAGCGTCACATTGCTACCGTCATGGTGTGCCGTTCAGAACTAACTTCAGATTTATTTCCCTTTTGGAACCCGATTTTAAGTGGTCCTTCTTGCTACGGAGTATACCGTCCACTACAGAGGAGTCCGTACACAAGTACACATTCGAGACTCTCACTCTTCGGTGGAGAAAGCAAAGAGTATGCAATAACTCAGCAATTACAGTAGACTTCAGAGACTACTATGTAATAGGACAACAATAAAAGAGACAAAATAATAATCATGCAACAGAGAAAGAAAGCAACTAGAAAAGGACGATGACTTGCCCATACATCCATCTATCCATTCAACCATTCATCATGCACCTCAAGGGAGAAGGGGTGTGTGTGTGTGTGTGTGTGTGTGTGTGGCATTGCTCAACAGTCCCGGTAGGCACGGGAGAAATGGGATGAAGGGAGGTTTGTGCACGCTGAATGTGGTTGATCGCCGGTTCTAGTTCAACCAGACGGAAGGCAAAGGAATGGGGATTAGAGACGGACGGACAAGTTCAGGTACGGAAAAGTACGGCACTTAGGGGCTGGCGGGGGGGGGGGGGGGGGGGGGGGAGTGGAAAGGTGAGATGCAACGGTAATTATGGTATTTATGGTACCCCTGATTACCATTATTACGGGCAATGCTTTGGGGCCATTGGCGGCCCTAAGTAAGTTCAAGTTCAAGCACGGCACTGCACCCACCACTGCACCACTGCACCATTGCACCACTCCCTACTACTTACAGTAATTGACCTGAGAACGGGGCAAGAATTGAAGTACATACTCCCATACCTACTCAGCGACTAAATTATCACGTACCCGGGACCAAAAACGGAGGCAGAGAAGACGAGGAGGCGGGGGCATGGATGGAAATATGAAAGCTGTAAGAGCCTAAAAGGCCTTCAGTGGCACTCTCTCGGTTCAATGGTTGATTTACAGTTTCACCTAATTACCCTACTGTCTGCAGTTTGAAGATGGAGTCATCACGGTCGTGGTAGGGGGACACTGGGACAAATTTGGACTGTGGCAGTGGCCACACGGCCCAATCTGGGACGCGGTTAGTCAGAGAGAGCCTCCGTCCGGATCCAGCGCAAATTCCAGAACTAATCACCGAGGAGCGAAAATCTTCGCTATCTCGGTATTATTAATCTAGACGGTTCTGGCACAGTCACTTGGTTCATCTTCTGCTTAGTACGAGTAAGTTAGTACTCCTTAGTTGAGTTACTCATAGTAGGACTCCATGAGCGATGGCAAGGGTGCCGGTGGTGGTCGGTAGGCAGAGGATGGATCACGGGCTAATTGGATGGTTTGTCATGGGGAGAGGAGAGTCAAAGAGGTAAGGTATGGGGAGCCTGGAGGCGTTGTGTCAGGTATGGAACGGGTCCGCAATGGTCGTCCGGTATGAAAAAAACCTTGGCGGTTGGACAATTGTTGCTCCTCTAACTGCAAGCGGTCAAGCGTTTATCTCTGCGAGAGGTAAGAAACTCTAGCCGGTATCAGTAATACGAAACACAAAGTACGGAGCACAGTGCCTTCCTTCTTCTCCTTCTTCTTCTCCCCCAGCTTCCGGGCTGAGGTAACTTTGTACCCCCATTACCGCATACAGACAGACACGCAGGCAGCCCAGCCGACTGATGGTTGGAAATGTCCGAAGCTGGTAGAGCTTTAAATGGGGCTAAGGAAAGTAGAAAAAAAAATAAAAGGAAACAAAAAACTTTACTTATCGGCAATATCTTCATCTGGTTCTGATCCACCTTTGGGAGTAGTGGTGAGGGCATTAGAGAGCCAAGACAAGTGATGCGCGTATGTAGCCATGATGTAGCCATGTAAGGTATTTTGTGTCTCTGACTGGGCTTGGTTCGAGGCCTCCGTAGTTAGATGAATATGGGTGTGAATGGACAGGTGTGAATGGATAGCACAAAGGTGCATCCCCAGAGCGTCGGACCCAGCAGCGAGGCGTAAACGAAACAATGGACCAATCACCCGACTGCTACTAGATTGACGACTCCAACAGATGGAGAGTCCAATCGCTGCGGGTGATTCGACTCGCACCCAATCCTTTTGGCGACAGGGCCCAAAAACTTGACTGGTACCCTGTACGGAGTACCTTAGGGTACATTTCCTCCTTAGGCCTTAAGCCGAAGGCAAAACGCTCTAGAGCCTTGCAAAGAGAGAAGGCTGTTGAGCATCGCCGTACTCCGTACAGTGGTACCTTTCTACAATAGGTAAGTCTGTAGACTAGCCCTGAGCCCTGAGGGCTCATACAGGAGCAGTCGCAGTAATCGTAGTAGCAGCAGCAGCAGCAGCAGTCGTAGCCATAAGCGCCCCTCTCTTCTGTCTTTTGCCCTGGTGACTTACTGGCTGGGGCGACTAAATGAAAATAGGTGGCCGCGGGGCCGACTGGCTTGACTTCGATTTCAGACGGCCAGCTTGCTTAGTAGTGAGTTAATTAGACTAGCTAGGAAGCAGGACAGCGAGATAGACAGACAGGAGGTCATGTACGATGTACGATTCAAGCCATCCATGATATCCACATCTAACCCGTGCCACCCAATCCCCATCACCACATCACCCAACCTCTAGTTGCTGTGCTCATTACTGGGCCACTCACTCGTCCGCTCAACTAGACAGTCTGTCTGTCTGTCTGCCTGTCTGCCTGCCTACCTGTCTATCTGTCTGTGCCTTTCCCAGGTTCCGTCTGTTCATCTTCCTTCCCATCCTTCACCAGCTCTACCGTCATACTCCGCCCCGTCGTAATCTTCCCTCCGTCTCTAGTCGGTCGGAACCAAAGAAAGAAACCTCCTCCGGTCCTGCGCTTGGGGTGGAAAGGCTGGAGGATTCGACCCAAAAAAAAAAAACAAGGTCTGAAAAAACCCGCGCCAAATCTGGTCATTTTTTGATTGTGTTTCCGCCACTGGTGTACTTTTTTCTTTGGGTTGTGCTGGTCATGATTCAACTTGCAGCAGAAGTGTACGAGGATGGAAAAGGAGAAGCATCCACAGTAGTGAACCCGACCACAGCACACACAGACACCACCACCACCACCACCACTACCATCAAAGGCGCAGGGCGGCGGCTATCGGGTCTGGGTTCCCTGTCAGCTGCTCGTGCAATTGGTTTTGGTTTAAGGAGTCAGTCAGTCAGTCATTGTTGTCGTATTCCGTTAATAGTTTTGATTATGGCCAAGATGCCCTTTCTTAGTCCAAAAAGGGAAAAAATCGTCTCTTTCCATGGATTTGGAAGGGGAGAGAAGGGATATCATCCGTAGCGTTGGGATTTTTTGCTCGCTCTTCAGTGCATGCAGGCATCCAAGCGGCAGTGGGCCTGAAACTGAACAAGGAAGTTACCTGTGGTCAATCAAGAAGGGATGGTGGATTGCGCTGCGCTTAGGTCCAAGACACATTCCCTATCAACTGGCACCATTTGATGCGAGTAAAAGAAACCACGCTAGATCCAACACGGTTGGAAAAGTACTGTACTTTCCTGGATTCTAACGCGCGACCCGTGAAAGGGAAGAGGTCTGACTGACTTGACTGACTGACCTCGTAAGTCGTAACACAGGACGCGTCGCAACCTCTCTAACCCTCCTTTCACCCCGTGGTACAGTCAATCGTCCATAGTCAATAGATTACAACAGACAGACAAACAGGGTGACGAATGCCGAAGATCATTTGTGTTCCGCCCATCACCATCAAGCCTCAACCCCCTCCCTCACCCCATCATAGAGTCAATCAGCCATTTCATTCACTGCATGCATTGTCGGAATGAAGATGGATTGATTGATGAATCATGGCACCCACCTTTCTGGTACAGTACTGTACACACAGCGCTACGTTCCCCTCCGCCTTCCGCATCGATCGGCCCCAGCAATGCAATAAGCAAAAATGATGTGTGGCTCAGTCATAGATCGGTCATGGACACATTGTTGATGGTGGTTATCCAGATAATGGTTGTTGCCAAAGAAGTAACAAACCACGCCATAATTTCATTAGGTACTCGCTGACTACCTCCAAACGGATCAAACCCGGCACGCGTTTTCTTGGTCAGTAGACTTTTGGGCTGGGGGGATGGACAATTCCGACGCTGTGATGCTTTATGATTTCATATACCTACTATCGTTCCGGAGAGCGGAGAGAGTGAGAGAGTCGTCAACTTGACGGGCTGCTGCGGAGGGTTTTAGCTTTAGCTTTTCATGTCTCATCGAGATCCATTTTCCGGACGCGTCTCGAGTAGAGAAAAAAAATAAAAATCTCTTTGGATGTGCTGCCTTCGGAAACACCGGTCGTCTATCTTGTCTATCTGTGTCTGGGTGTTGACTTGGTCGGAGGAGAGAAGGTCTGATCGTCCATCGGATCCCCCCTCCCTGCTACCGTGTAGGTAATATACTGACTGAACGTCTGCAGTCCCAAGTATCACAATATTGTCCGCGATGCGAGCAGAGAGAAGAGAACGGTCAGAGTACGGTCGGAGGCTTTCCTCTTTCCTAACTTCAGCCCCGAGAGGTTTGGGGTCATCTAGCGATGATAGCGTAATGATCGTTTTCAAACTTCAGGGGTGGTGGATGTGTGTGATTGAGTTAGCACGGTACAGTTAACTTAGTGACTACTTAGTAGTATTCCACGATGTGCAGTCGAACACCACCTGTCCATAGTCGGTAGGACCTAGGGCTCTCAGGGCTACTAGCTAGTCTCGTCGTTCAGGGGAGGTGAGGGAAGGGGAGGAGAAAGCGACCGCGTCGACTGATGAGCTGGGGATTTGGACTACAAATCCCACATCTGATAGTTCAAGCATAGCGTTATAACAGTAAAAATGTGCAATCAATGTACGAAGTTCCAAGATTGGGGGGGGGAGTGGAAGATCGAATTTGAATCCATTCCACAATCCGACATCTCATTCGCCCGGCCAGCCCAGCTACAGATTACTGGGGAGATGACCTCGTCTGCCATCCCAAGCAACCAACCAACCTCCCCCTCGTCGCCCCTTTGACAATCTTGACAATCTAACAGTCAATCAATCAATTTCGACTCATGGAAGTCCTTCCCCCGTCCAGATCCACAAAGACAAAGCGCCCTTCAGCTTGGATGATTAGGCAATGTGACCGGCATACCCTGATACCGGCATACCCTGATACCCTGCTAGGAACTGTGCCGTGCTGTGTGAACATCATGCCTGACTGACTGACTCTCTTGTCTGTTTGTCTTCTTCCTATAGTTACTTGCAGCTCCGCCTATTAACCTACCTAACGAACTACCGACTTCGTACCGGAAGTCTTCCCCCTGTTGGTGGTGGGCCTATAGTACAGTAACAGCCAGGATCCTTTGCTTTCTCCCTTTTACTTTAGTTTTCCCGAAATTACTGATCGATCAGGAGCGAGCGAGCGAGCGACGGTCGAACCCATGAATCAATGCATAGACCCTGGGTATTATACCCATACCTTGACTCTTTCACTCTCTCGCTTGGGCAGGAAGTAAATGCGATGGATCCCTTTGTCTATGTCATCGACGCCCCGGGACTTTGTCCACTTCAGCTGTGGCTTCGTCTGTACCGGATTATATTGCATTTATCCACCTAAAACGATGGTATGTGCATCGAACCGCCAAACTATTCAGTACAGCCGACCGGCGGTTGCCTCGTATCTACTGGTCTGTACCCCGTAGCTGCGAAGGATAGAAGGGAAAGCATGAAAGCAGAAAAAAAACAAAAAGGCACCTGCGGTGACTGGTCCAAAACCATAGCATCATCTCATCATCATCTGGAGATCGGCTGATTCTGAGTCGAGAGATTGGCAATGATAATCAGATGATGGTTTGGCGAAAGATTGGATCGAGGTTCTTTTCTTTTCTTTTTTTTAAAAAAAAATTCTCTGATAGAGACGGCGACCGTCGTCGGGATTAGACGCCACCTGAAGGTCCCCATTCATTCATTCATTATTCATTGATTCATTCCTGAGGCCGACATGGCCCACGTCGACTAAGCACTGCACTGGCATTGGCAAGTAGCATTAGGTTCCAGTTCCAGTTCCAGTTCCAGTTCCAATTCCAGTTCCAGTTCTCTCACCCCGATTGGGGCAACAGCTGCCGGTCGGTCGCTGGATGCGTACGGTATTCACTGGCAATCCCGGTAACGAAAATACCATTCCACACCTGTTAAACTCACAGAAGTCAGGACTCGGGAATTGCGTCTACCCCTTCTCATTGGTGCTACGGCCAGGAATTCGAGGTTCGCGGACTGGATGGGGACCGCCTTTGACCAAATTGACCTTGAACCTCAAAAGGTTGCTCAAGGCTGCCCCGGCTCCTGCCATCACCGATACCTGATTACCTGACAGCGTAAAAAGCAGCAGCAGTAGCAACAGCAACGGCAGCGGCAGCGGTTGTTCCAGAACTTCCGACTGTTGAAGTGGAGCGTGTGTGCCACTTTCCTCCCGGCACATAGAGTCATCCACATACAGCCCAGAAATAGCCACGATGCTAACTCCATTTGCCGGAGTAAACTATACCATGATACCATCATCATCATCATCATCATCATCATCATCATCATCATCATCATCATCATCATTAACTGAAGTCTCCGTCTGACTGTCTCTGTACGAGTCAATCCACTTCAAACTGGATGATGATGCTGATGACTCCGTTTTGGAGTCTCACCACGCCCTCGTCCACCGTCTGCCCAGCATCCCAACACTGGGGCTGGGGCGCATCCTTGGGACGTCGACTGGTTTGGTGACTCGGGCGCAGCGGCGGCGGGCACAGGCAACATTCGCTAATTGACGCCTACTTCCACTACACTACACTACACTACATACAGTGCTCCGTATAGCCGCAGACCACTGGTCGGTCGAGATGAGATGGTAGTGGGATGCGACGATCGCAAGACGCTGTTTGGGTTCGACCCGACCTCCAAGGCGTCAAGACTCGAGTCCAGATGATGCTCCAACCCTACCCTATCCACTTGAAGCAGAAGCATGCGGTTGGTCGTCAATCTGTCGACTCTCCTCCGTATTCTCTACCTTACTCTACTAACTTCCTGTCTGGTGATTACCTGCAGCGGTATTTGGGCACAGGATGGATATTTTTCGCTAACTACTCCTCGGTATTGCTGACCAACGACTCTGCCACAAGCTTTTCGGCTTTGTGCGCTCTTCCTTCCAGGTTCTCTCTCTCCTATTGACCTTTTGCGTTCTTGATGGTTTGTTCCTGTCGAACTCACGGCCTGCTTCTTTCTTTGATTCGAACATGCTGCTTCGCCAGATCTCACGGTCAATGCTGCCCATCTACCTCATTGGATCCAGCTCCCAACCATGGAATATCAACCTTAAACCTGGTCAATGAGAAGGATAAGAATGACCCGACCCAGGCTCGTTCCCCAGCTGTTTTCGTCTAGCAGAACAACTCGATCTTGCGCCCGGGATTAGAATTGCGGATGAGTGGCCGGGTACTGCAAGCACTATACCTTTGGCTATGATTATCCGTGTTTTCCGCGTAGGGACGAGGACCATCGATCCTCTCGAGTACAGTACATAGAGCTCTCGGTCCTGCTGAACTACGCTTAGCGGTTGCAGCCTGGAAGTTAAGTTGCACCTAGCCTCCACGATTGGAGACGTTGCTTGCCACCCCAAAAAGCAATTCTCATCTCCGGTTGCGGCACCGTGGCCCGTCCGGAAAGCTGGAGAGTTCTTCTCTGCTTCGTCACCGCCAGTAAGCTTTGGTTTTAGGGGCGGCAGATGGATGCTTTTTGGTTCATAAATTATCCCTCGCCGTCAGTAGGTCCGAATTGATCCCCCATGAACAATTCACCTTCGTGAGTGGATCGGAGAAGGTTTCAGTCGAACAGGTATTCGTGGCACCCAACTTGAAGCTACCTGTTGCATACCTAGTACTGGCCAAGTCAGGTTCCTGTGCTCTCGGCCATACTGCCTCGAGGTTGTGTATCCATTGGCAAATGAGCGACGGCGCTATTACCTGGCTCTACGGCTCGAGTCATCCATATTTATCCTTGTATGATCGATCGTTGATGCGTTTTGACGCGTCCGTATCACATGACCTCGGTCCATCGAATCTACCACGCAGATTCTGGATTTTACCGACCGCAGCAGGCAGGCATCTAGTATTTCCCTGTTCCTCCCAGCTCGAAATCCTGGAATGGACCGCCTTGGAAGAGACCAAGTTCCGGCGTACTAAGTATACTTGGTCCACTAAGTATAAAGCAAACTAAGGGACTGGCGATGAACCTTCCGCACGGAGCAAAGCAATCTGGGCATGGACAGCTCCTCCTAAAGTCCCTGGACGTTTCCAGCAGTTAGTCAGGTCGTTGGCTACTACGGAAGAGCAATCTTAGCAATCCCGGCCATATTGCCATTACACGAAAAGTGCAGCCTAGCAGACAACTAGACCTCGAGATGGTTCACTGGAACCCCCCCCCACCTCCTCCTCCCCCCATCCCTTAACGTAACCGCTAGTTAGCATATGCGATTCCCTCCGTGTCTCCTTCGAGACGGTCTCACTCGCCTTACACGAACTACCCGCCTGATGTGACTATCGCATACCGTGAGAGGCAACCGCTCTCCCCCACGGTGCCCAAGGATTGGACGCGACGGAGGACATACTTGCTTTACATTTTTCACTTAGTCACTACTGTACACGACGGAGGACACTTGACTAGTCCCAGCGCCCTCTCGACCCGTGCGCTGTTTTCCATTCTTCTCCTTTTCTTTGCACGCAGAGCAAGATCGCCGCGCAAAGCAGCGGTCAAACTCCCCGTTAACCCTCAAAGTCGATGATGAGGCCGTGAATTTCACAGCGTTGTTGGCTCTCCCTCCGTCTGCTTGTGCTCGTGCTCGTCCTCGTCCTCGTGCAACATGGCCGCTCTCGTGGTGGAAACTTGGACCCGTCGATGTGATCCATCGAGTCTGGTCGGTAAGGCAAGGCAGGCACGGTAGGGAGGGGGAGGGGGAAGGGGGAAGGGGGAAGGGGGAGGGCACCAGCACCTGCGCGACTACCTTCATTTGCACACATCTCACCATCAACGTCCTTCTCCTCATGTCCGAAGAGTATGTGTCGGATAGTGGTTCAAGACAGGATGGGTAGGGAGATACTTTCCTTCCCTGGATCGCATCCAGGTCAGAACATGCTCTGTACAGTGTGCTGGACCAGCAAAGGTTGAGACCCTCGTGAGAGAGAAAGAGAGAGAAGTGCTGCCGTCTCCCCTCGCATTATACGGTAGGAGCATGGAGGATGGCGCATCGCCCGTGGGGAGTTTGTTATCGGTTGACCCCCTGGTTTCTTTATCAATTCGATTTCCTTCAACAACACGTTTGACATGATCGCATCGTGTCATGGCCTCGAGTCAGGGGAAAGGATCTATTGAAGGAGGAAGGGCGGAGGGCGGAGGGCGGAGGGAAAGTTGTACTGTCCGCTGTAGTGTACGCAAGGACAACAAGCAGATAAAACGAACATGTACCGTACATTTTTGTGTAGATGTGTAGATGTGTATCTATGTATGAGGGACAGTCTCACTTGCTTGCTCGTTATCAGTCGGTGCAAAAGAAAATGGCATTGGGAATACGGATTGCCCTCAACCCTCTGTCCTTCCCGCCTTGCCACACTTGCTCGGGAGTTGTTACTGTGATTTGGTGGTCGGATTCCCTTGCATTGAGTTTCCGGGTCTGGCAATCCTTTGCGGACTGGATCCTGTATTGCTTGCTTGAGGGGAAGAACTGTCGATCTTTGGATATCTGTCTGGTCGGGTTCTCTTTTGGAGGAGAAAGTAAACAAAACCTCTTTTCCATTTTTGTGGTGCGGGGCTGGTTTGGTCCCTTTACAAGACCACTGTCAGATTGAAATAATCTTTGTTATCCTAACTGGGTGTAAAGTATACACATACTTCTAACGGATTGGTGATCAACATTGCACGTAACACTCTGCACAGCACAACACAATCATACCGACACAACTCGTTGTGTAATTGTGAGGCCAAATTGTGTGTTGGTTGCGAAACCTGGGGTAAGTCGTGCACGGAGAACCCCGTCACTGAAGGTCAGGGTTGATACGGAGTACTAGAAGTAGGAGTAATCCCCCAACCCACCCCCTTGTCCTCCCTACCTACGCTCAAGGGGATACAGGACAGCAACTACCCCCCTCGTGGGACTACCCTCGAGGCCCCCGGAGACGGTCGGTGTATGGAGCCAGTTGAAGCAAGGGCACGTTGACGATCATCAGTCCGAGGTTTGAAATGTTTGGGTGGTGGTTGCGGTGTTTGTTGATGGGCTAGTGCTTCCATAACAACAGGCATCTGGTGAATGGTAAACCAGGGACAATATTAGGGCCGGATTTTTGGTCGTTTCGTGGGGTGAGGTGAGGTGAGGTGATTCTGAGTCAAGGGGGATGGGGAACAAGGGCATTCATTGATGATTCCGGTGGTTTGGTTGGAAATTTGACACTGACTCAACTCGGTATTTGTGGTGGTTCTGGGGTTGCGACCGACATTTTGCAGGGATGGTGAATAGTCGAATGGCAATGATGCTTCTATGGGAAGTCGATTGATCACCAAGAGCTTCGGATTTGTGTGATGTCCCAGAGGATAGGATAGGCAATCATTTATTGATAGGTTTTCTGTTCCGGCTACAGTACAAGTATATCTCCCTCCGTCCGCTTGGCAAGATACCATACAGAGTCGATTCTTAAACATATCAACATCCCAACTCTCAGACTAGATATGCGCGAGTATGGTTCAGGTGATGTGATTCCGAGCATTGAATTCCTAATCAATTTGAAAGTCGAATCAACAATGCATGAGCGACATCGAAACATCGAAACATCAAGGAGGCCATCCAAGCGAGCGCCGCGCAAGACCCGGGCTTCCTTCGACTTCCGTCCAGTCGAGACTTGTCTGCCAGTTGCTTATTCTTTCCTTCTTTTTCCTTGCTGCTTCTTGTCTGATTAGCTTGTTTTACCCCTCTTGAGCTTTTTGTTCTCTCCATTCTTTTTTATTTGTTTATCTTTCTTCTGGGGATGACAATTCGACCACCAATGACTTATCCAGTCTCACCCAACTAACTGCACGGCACATGGAAGGCTTGCCGGACGGCAGATGGGACAACAACAAACAGGGATTGAACGATTACTAGGTATTTTCAATCGACTGCTGGCATTGAGGATCCAATGTGTCCTTTCTCCTTTCCCCACCGTAGGTCCAGATTCGTGGTCATCCAAAAATGATAAGCTGTTTGCTGGTGTGTGCGCCCTGCATAAGTACAGGTACAGGTACAAGTACAGGTACAGGTACAACTGCCACTTTGACCCCTCCCTTTCCTGTGGCCTACAGCAGATAGATGGATGTATCTACACGCAATGATCAACACCACAAGAACAAAGAGGCCCCGAACGCACTCCCCTCACCCAGCCCCAATAATTTGGATGGCTTTGACTTTACTTAAAATCAGTCAACCAGCTAACTAGCAACCAACCACTTCAGACAGATCATGTCTCGCCATCAGACCACAACCCTGAACCATATATCCCCATTACTTTTGCTTTTGCTTTTGCTTTTGCTTTTGCTTTTGCTTTTGCTTTTGCTTTTGCTTTCTTGCTTGCTTGCTTGCTTGCTTGCTACCGCGCGTCAAGGTCGGGATGGGGTTGTCGTCATCCCCTGTGCCCCCCGGTATCTGTGCGGATCCGAGACAATCAGGCTGCCGCCCATCTCATCTTCTGGATGAGGAGAGAACACAATCTGTCTCCGTATACGTATACCGTACTCCTCTCGTCAGTGGGACTCTATACTACATCTGATTCGAACCAGGGAAGCGATCCAATCCGACCGACCGCTCGCGGACTTGTGATCCACATCTTTCCCTACCTCGAAATGGAAGTCGTATATGCGGCCGCGACGGAAGTACTATACATACCGATGCATCCGCAGAGCTGGAGACTTGCCACTGCTGCTGCTGCTGCTGCTGCTGCTGCTCTGTTCCTCATTCAATGGATCGGTCGATAGTACGATACCGAAGCAGACAAGCACAGTACCGTGGCCATCCTCTCGCCTTACGGGGAAGACTGGTGGTTGCTGTTGTTGTTCACACCCTGCACATGCACCCGTTGAAAAAGAGATGTCACAAACGAGGAAAAAGCAACGAAAAAGCCAATCGGCCGGAAGAAGTGGGCGCTGGCCACTTTGGGTACTGTACTGTCCAGTCCAGTCCAGTCCAGTCCAGTCCATGTAAGGTCGACCTGGCCTGCGTAAGAAGCGATCCGGAATGGCAACTCGCTCAGCGCTTTTTTCGTGCTGGCAGGTCTCGGCTCGTCTACGGAGTACTCCTGCTCATTATAGTACCGGTGAGTTGGGGATGGCTGTCACTAGGGTCAGGTCATGGTTTAGCTATGTACGGGGCTATATATAGCTGGAGATGGTCAAGGTGATGAGTAGAGCGAGCAGTTCTATCTGTTTTGTGCTCTCCAACCCGGAGTCGGGAAAGCCGACTCCAGACCTCGATTGAGATAGGGGAGGCGGATCGAAAGATCATCCCAGAGGTGTAGGCTTTCTCGTATACCATGCTCGAACATCGATTGATGGCATTTCCCTGCGTCGTACGCGATGCTTTCCGAGCTCATATCGCTATTTGTATGAGTCGGTGTAGGAGCTTAGATCGCCAGCCGGGTCTCAAACCAGCGTCGAGTTTGGGGTATCTTCATACCCTTGACCTTGATAAGTTAGTAATGAGCAGAGAGAGAAAGAACAGAGCCGACATATAGCTAGTATGATTATACTTGAATAGGCCGTTACGTGGTGTGCATGCCAGCTGGTGAGCAATAGGAACACTTCTGAAGGAACTTCTTGAGGGAGTAGAGGGAGTCGAGGGAGGGTGATGGATGCTACTCATGTATACGATGGCGATATCGACAAGATTGAGACAGTTTGCCTCGTTTACTTCATAGACACAAGGCGTATCAAACCTCGTACTTGTGCACTATATCTATATCTGCGTTACTGAACTGAGATATTAGGAGGTTGTTCCCAGGTAAGCCTAGAACCCAGAATAGCAGGGTCCAGAGGCAAGAGCAAAGCCAAATCACAACGAACAAAAAAAGGTTGAGCTACTTGGTAGCTTCAAAAACATAGGTCACTTGTCTAGCTCAGTTTACAAAAGAAGAATACTCCATGTCGGTGTGCTAGCTTTCTGGTTGTAACTGAGACGGTAAGTGGTGATGACTTACAGATATCGGAGTACGATGGTGATAAACAACAACCCGATGACGAATTGATCTACAGTGAATCTGACTGAAGATCGAAGTACACAGTACACTTGCCTGGTGATTGAAAGCCATAACATCTAAACTACTCTACTTAGATACAATACCTACTACAAGTTCTACACCTCTTGAGTGCGATAAAAATGTACCCCCGGAATGCACCAATCACCGCACGAGAACAGCCGTCCCGGGCCGAGATTCCTCCGGTCCCCATAAGCCCTGGTGTCTGCCTCAGGCCGACCGAAACTTCCCATCCCAGCAGAAAGATCCTGTCTCTGGACTTCCGCGGCGACACATTTCCAACCTCAACCACTTCACCTCACTCTCGACACTCCCCCCCAAACCTCCCAATTGAAGTCGGCCCGCCATGCCTCCCCGGCTCCAGATCCTCCCCTTCCGGGCGCTCACGTCCGCGACGCCCATCACCACGGCCGCCGCCGCCAGCAGCACCGCCAACCCGCTGACATTCCTGCTGGCCGGCTTCCAGCAATCCCGCAACGCACACATCCTGGCCTCGCTCTCCGACAACGCGGGGGCCTACAACAAGCGCATCCGTCGCGGTCGCGGTCCGGCCTCCGGCAAGGGTAAGACCTCCGGTCGCGGTCACAAGGGTCAGAAGCAGCACGGCAAGGTGCCCGCGGGGTTCAATGGTGGACAGACGCCGGACATTGTTGTGCACGGGGAGCGGGGATATAACAATATGTATGTTTGCACGCTGCTCACCTCTGAATAGGGGACGAGGAGGAGGGACAGGGATTGGATTCCTGCGTCATTGGGATTCGTTCTTGGGATTGGGGTGTGCGTGTTTTGAGGATACCTCGACAGTGAGGTCGAATTGCAGAAGCGCTTCCCGACGGCAAAGCAATGATCCTGGAAGAGCTTTCTGCCAATTCGAGATCAATCCTGACGCAACCGACTCCCAAGCCGAACTCCGGATGTCCAACTCCCCAGTTCCTCCTCCCACATCCCAGTCAATCCAACAACAAACACCACTAACCCCGACCAGCCACGCCATCGAGCTAGCCCCCATCAACCTCAACCGCATCCAAGACTGGATCGACCAAGGCCGCATCGACCCGACGCGCCCGATCACGATCCGCGAGCTGTTCGACTCGCGCTGCATCCACCAGACCAAGGAAGGCGTGAAGCTCCTCGGCCGCGGCGTCCTGAAGGACGAGAAGGGCGCCGTCATCACCCCTAGCACCAGCACCAGCACCACCACCACCACCCCCTCCACATCCGAAACCGAAACCGAAACCGAAACCGACACCGAATCCTCCACCCCCACCCTCCCCGACGGCACCAACGTCCTCAAACAACCCATCCACATCGTCGTCTCGCGCGCCTCGGCCGCCGCCATCGCCGCCGTCGAGGCCGCCGGCGGCACCGTGACCACGCGCTTCTACACGCCGCGCGCCATCCGCCGCATCCTGAAGCGCGAGATGCACCCGTTCGTGTCGACGGCGTGGACGGCGCGCAGCAGCCCCGCGGGCCTCCTCACGGCCGCCGGCATCGAGGAGGACGCCGCCGGCCAGCTCGTCGAGAGCGAGATCATGCGCGCCATGGGCTTCACCTACCGCCTGCCCGACCCCACCAAGCGCCGCGACATCGAGTACTACCGTGACCCCGCCCACCGCGGCTACCTGAGCCACCTGCTCAAGCCCATGGAAGGTCCCAGTTTGTTCTTCCGGTCGCCCGTCGAGCGGAAGACGGCGGCCGGTGCGCATAAGGAGAAGGTGCTGCCGGAGAATAGGCTCTGGTAGTTTTTGTTTTTTCCCGTCCTTGTTGTTCTCGGGTGAAATACCGGGTGGGACGCAGAGTGGGGGATCGGTTGTAGTTGTAGTTTGGGGGTTTGGGGTTGGGGTTCGCTGGGTGGATTAGAAGTGTGGGCAGGATATGTACGGGGTGTGTGTGTACGGAGACAGGGTTGTTGAACTCTTTTGTCTGGCTCTTGTAATTTGTATAAATATGTTTGGTTATACGGTTGTCTATCGTGGATATGCATTTTCTTTTCTTCTTGGTCTTTTCCTGTTCTCGTGGATATGGCTGGCTAGTGTGGTTGCCCTGGCAGGTAGGTAGGTATCCCTCAAGCTCGTGGAATCTTGTAGTCAAATGGGTTTTATGTTTGGTGGTGAGTGAAAGTCTTGCTTGCGATTTCCTGAGCGGCAGCTTTCCACCTCAACCTCAACCTCAACCGGACCATCGTCTGCTCACGGGCCTCGTCTTTCGGCGACAGGCTAGAGATAGCAGCAGAAGCACCCTGAGCAGCCAGAAGACCTTGCAGCGGATTCCACCTACCGATCCAGCGTGCAAGCGACCGCGCAATATATCTTGTTCTCGGGCGCTATTACAGTAGCGATGTCTAGTGGCGTACAAACACACCAAGTATAGGAGTCATTAACATTCGTATAGTGGAGCATTCTCAATATCTTGACAAACTTTCCCATGCCCATTCTCCCCTTCTTAGCAAGGTCACAGTGGAAGCCGATCGCTCGCAACAACCACAACAGAAAAGCCACCTGGATATCAATACACACCCAAGAAAAACACCCCAAAAAACGCCATGCAATCGCCTTGCAAATTGTGTAATGCTCCCAAGTCTCATTGTCTCACAAACACAAAAGGTATACCGAAAAAGAAAACGCGCTCAAAAGTCAAATACTGGATATATCATCAACCCGCTGTGAACATAAAAGAGGGTATCATGGATGAAAAGACTAGGCGCAATGCCGCGCGCGCTAGCCCGTAGTCATCTAAAGGTCATAAGTATAGCGCCACCAAGGCTTGGCTGCAGCCCGTTCTGGGACTGCCTTAAAGTTTCCAAATGGACTCGGTGGGGCTGCCGTCTGGGTTCTGAGAGAACTCTCGCATCCACCGCGAGCAAAGTACATCACGGATGGTCCAACGTTTGGTGGGATCCATCTGCAAGCATCCTGTGACCACCTCAAGCGCATCTTCCCGCTCCTGCCGCGTGGGAGCGTCCGCTTCCTCATCGCCAAGGACCGCTTGTGGGTTCCAGTTCCCATGGAGGATGTTGTTCTGGATGCGCGGCGCGAACGGATCTTGAAACGGCCGGGAGCCAACGATAACGGTGTAGACGATGACTCCAAACGCCCAAAGATCGACTGAAGGATGGATGACTCCATTGGTCGAGAGAAGGAGCTCCGGGGAAGCATACTCCAGACTCCCCGCAACGCTGGTGCTGGATCCAGCCGGTCCGATATTCTTCGGAGGCGGTCGATCCGCCACATTATCGTAGGGATCAGGCGACGAACCGTCGTTGTCCGTATGCATCCACTCAGCCATGCCGAAATCGCAGAGCACTAGTGTTGAGGCCTCGCTTCCATCGGGCGATACGGTGGGATCCAGCAGACAGTTCTCCAGCTTGATATCCCGGTGCACAACCCGAGCGTCTTCATGCAAGTATCGAAGTGCACAGGCAAGCTGATATGAGTACTTCTTGGCAAGCTTGAGGTCCAGACCGCCTCGATTCTGGCGGACAAGATCGAAAAGAGTGCCGCCGATCGCGAGCTTCGTAAAACAAAACGTAGCATAATCAGTCTCGTACACAGCATCCAAGGTCAGGACGTTGGGGTGGCTGAGGTAGCGCCAAACTCGGACTTCGTGGTCGAATTCTGCTTGAACCTCGTCGTTTTCCTTCTCGCTCTTGCCCGAGACCTGTTTTTTGACGATCTTGACAGCGAGGTGTTTGGTCTTGCCATCCTCTTCGACCTTGTACGCTTCTCTCACGGTGCTGAACCCCCCGAAGCCGATCTGTTTGCCAAGGACATAATCCGTTCCGACCATCTGGCCTTCGTCATCAGGTTGAGGCGCAGACTCCTCCCCGCCGGCGCTCCACATGGAGAGGAACATGCTAGCAGGAGACTTGCCACTGGAAGCGGTAGATCTGCGCGACCGTTGCCGGGTAGAAAGACGAAGGCCTCTTGCCTTGCTCCCAAAGGGAGTCACAGCACTTCCCGACCAAGAGCTGCGATCGTCAAGCGAGGCAAACCCTTGTACAGGCGATGCCATGTAAACCGGCGAAGACAGAATCCGAGAACCCTCCGACGGAGTTCGGATTTCTTCAGTCACCGGGGATGCAGTCGATCTCGACGTGAGAGAGGTTGGATGTTCGATCTCCGAGGCCACGGCGTTTTCCTCCTCTTCCGGAAAGCTGCCACGCGAAGACCCGGTAGGGATGGGCCGTTGGCGTCGCTGCCTTTCCGGACTAGCACTAAGGTCCGACTGGCGGTCGTGATCGTCGGGCCTGTCCTCCTGGCGTAGAGTGTTCCTCAAGCTCGAGCTGCGCGACTGAAACTTTGGCGGCCGACCGGCCAGAGGCTCTTCGAGAGGCAGGCGTCGACCAGAGTCCAGTGCAACGATGGGGTCAAAGCTGATCGACGGCCGGCGTTCTTGCTGCAGAAAGCTGTCCAGCGGAGAGGCCTGCACATCCTCGGGTTTGTGAGGATAGCTGACATCCTCTGGGTCGGAAAGATCAGGATGACGAGGAACGGAGATAGGAGGTGTCGCCGAGTGTAAGCCACTCAAAACACTGCTGTCTTGATTAGTACCGCCACGGGGTGGGTGATAATCGTGAAAGATGTTTGTACGATCGCCATCCGTCGCTCCTCCGCCTTCAGCCTCGCCCCGCCATCGGGGTCGAGGTGTATGTTGGAAAGACGTCTCAAGCTTCAACCCTGCCAGTGTGTTGGGTCTTCCCGTCTGAGCCATGCCCTGCCGCCCGCCAGAAGAGCGGCACGTCTATGAGAAGAAGAGAAGAATGACGAGGTGGAGACAAGAGTTCTATCTCTAGAGAAACCCGTAGAAGACTTTTGAGAGGGAGTAAGAAGCATGAAAGAGGGAAAAGAAGATGATAGTGAAGATGGGGGGATAAGTGTTGAGAGGGGTGATCTTATCGAGGAGTGGTGGTGGTGGTGGTTCGGTGGGTGGGTGTTACTTGCAGAGGGACAAAAAGAGGAGAAGAACAGTAAGAAGTAAGTTAGTACTGTATTGTACAGTTCAGTTCAGTTATCGGAGGGTCCCGATCCGATAGGAGGGAAGCTAAGCTCAAAAGGAAGAGACGAAGAACTATTCAGTGCACTAAGGCGCAGATTAGCGTCACTGAGTGAGCTGATCAGACCAAAAAAGCAATCCTTCTGCAGCGACAGGAAGGAGGGCCCATTGAATCATTGACTGATTAATGATTGATGATGATGGTGATGATGATGGTGATGATGGCAATGAATTCCCGGGAGAAAGGGAAGAAAGGGAAAAAGGTGTGGAGGAGAAAAAAGATCGGGAGAAGAAGGGTCCCAAAGAGGCAAGTGAGTGGGGGAATCTTCGGGTGATGACGGAGGCGATTCGATTGCCTGACAGCCAACTGGTCAGCCTGGATGTAAGGTGACGGAGGGATCAACCATTCACAGCCACGCTGTGTAGACCTGAAGTAGTACTCAAGTACTAACTTGGTAGTACTGGTGGCTGCGGACCCGCCAGCCGGTTCTTAGGCTTCCTAGGTTAGATTAGTTCAGATTAGTTAACTTATGGATCTTTGATCTTGCAATCACTTATCACCTGAAGATATGGGCCCTGACCCTGGGCCCTAAGCCCTGCTGTTCCCTGGATCTGGTCAAGTCTCTCCCTGGCCGCCTAGGCGGTCCAGGCACGGGATCGGAGCTGTGGGTAAGCGCGCGCAAGGGGCGCTTGTTTAGGAGGACCTCCTCCCCTCCTCCCCTATTCTCTTGCATGCTTGAATCAGTCCGGGGAACTCGTTGCGTTGCGTTGCATTGCGTTGCGTTGCGTTGCGTTGCGTTGGGCTTCACATTTGCTCCATCACCCACCCACCCACCCACCCCCCCCGGCACCTTTCCTAGTACCTAATTTCCCTTCTTTCCCCCAATAACATTGGCGTTTTGGCTATTGTTGTTTGCCCTTCTTTTCTAAAATTTGTTTTTGTTTTGGTCTTTGTGTTTAATCCGCTCTGGAAGTCGTTCCCTTTCGTCTTGTTTGCCCGACGAATGCCCCCCCCCCTGGTCGGACTTGAAGTACCCACCCCCGCCGTTGCTCCTCGTGGCCGTCGTCTTCGTTCTTTCGTCCCTGGAAAATTACTTCCATTCTTCGCTACGCAATTTTCTTTGCGCCTAGCGCTCTGGACTTTCCTTCTTTTCAAGCCGCACCGGGACGCTGCGCCGTGCCGATCTACATTCGCCATCGGGTTTCAAATGTTCATGATTCCAAAAGTCGCTCTTTCGCCCCCGGAACATCAAACCAATTTTCATCTCGACCAATAAATTCGCAGGCGCGAAAATATAGTCAGAATGACGAGGCCTCGGATTGTCCGGGCTGGTATGTGCAACGAGTGGAAATCATGTGGCCGTCGCGCTGATCAGCAAATGTATGATGACAGATACCATGGACCTCCAGGACCAGCATGCCCCTTCCGCCAAAGATCACTCCAGACAGCCCATGAATCCATCGGGCATTGCCCCCCACCAGGAACAAGCGCTTCGCCAGGCCGACCAGGATACCAAAGCTGAAATCATGCATGGTCCCAGCGCCCATGACGGCCAACCCGGTGACAACCGCGCCGACGGGATCGATATCTACGATGATGACGATGACGACGACGACGACGACGATGAAGACGAAGAGATTGAGGATATAGATCACCACGGCGATCGCTCCGGGGAACACGAAGAAGGCGACCTGGCCGACGGCGAAAGTGACGACATGCTAGATGACGATATGATGGATAAGATTTCGAGCTCTCCGTCCATTGACGACGGTATGTCTGGCCTCCTGCGCCCACCACCATGTCACTCTGCATAAATCTCCGGCCCTTGGGCACTCTCTGCCCGTGGAGGCCCCGATCACGGTCGAATCTAACCCAAACCTAGAGGATATTGACTTCGAATTCGTCTATGCGCTGCACAACTTCTACGCGACCGTCGACGGACAGGCTAACGCCTCGAAGGGTGACACCATGGTGCTGCTGGATGACAGCAACAGCTACTGGTGGCTTGTGCGGATTGTCAAAGACGGCAGTATTGGTAGGTCACCTGCTGGTGTAGGTATATCTGAGCTCACCGTAAGCAGGCTATCTGCCGGCTGAACACATTGAAACTCCGACCGAGAGACTCGCCAGATTGAACAAGCACCGCAACGTGGATGTGAGTGTGACAGTCGTCGGAATCTGGCCAGTTACTGATACTATATGTGGTAGCTTTCGGCAACCATGCTCGGAGACAATTCCGAGAAATCGAAGAACCCGCTGATGAGGGCGGTGCGTCGCAGAACCACCAAAAACGTCCAGTTCACCGCTCCGACGTACATCGAGGCGTCTGATATCGAGTATTCCAGCGACGAGGACTTGGACGACGCCGCGTCCTTCAACGATGATGAGGGTTCGCGAGCGGAGGCGGAGGATGCACACGACGGCCAATCCGATGACATCGTTGTCCAGCCCTTGAGGACCAAGTCGCAACGTGATAAGGGCGCCGAAGAAGGCAGCGTCGACGACACTGAAGAGCCCGCGGGCAACAGTCCGATCAAGCAACGCTCTAGCCAGGAGCTATTCGAGCCCGAAAGTGAGTGTCTCAGTCCGGTCTCTGGGGCATTGGCTAAGGAGAATCTAGCCGACAACAGTGTGAGCCGGTCGCGAAATGGCACCGTCCGCAATACCGATTCCTTCTTCAGAGACGACACCGTCGAGACCAAGAAGATTTCCCTGACACCCAACCTGCTCCGGGATGAAGTCGGCAGTAGTGCTCTCTCCAGCGATGCCAGTGAGGTAAGTCACTTGTTCCGACCGCGCCGAATGTCTATTGACCTGCATCAGAACCGCGGTAGCATGGAAAATATCGACAAGACCCTCAGTGCGATTGATAAGAGCAAAGAGGATAAAAAGCGCAAAGACAAGAAGTCTGGGATGTTGAGCGGCCTTTTCAAGAGGAAGGATAAGAAACCGAAGTCCCACGACGAGGATACTGATGAGGCGGAGAAAAACTCGAACGAATTCTCCCGATCTTCCCCTCAGCCTAAAACATCCCTGGATTCGATTCCCTCCCCCGTCTCTCCTGAAGCTCGATCCCCCAAGCAGATGATGGTGCAGAAACAGCCCAGTAAGCTGCAGAAGCAACCTCCGGTGGCACTCTCTCCAACGAAGCAGGATTTCCCTCGTGAACAGGAGCCGGCTAGTATTGACCGAAGCATCAAGTCTGCGATGAGCAGCAAGTCGGATCAGACCATCCGACAAGTCACGTCGGAAGAAGCGGATGACATTCCTTCATCCCCCCCACTGGGGCCGTTCGACGACAGCCAGGAGATCATGGTGTCTTCCGCTCGGGTACCGAGCCCTGCGAAGAAACTGGTGCAGCCCGACCCGCAGGATCCAATAACGTCACCAGTTGAATCGAACGGCGACTGGCAAGAAGCGTCCGAGAATGTATCCTATGCGCAGCGTTCGGTGGCCTCGCCCCCACAGCGATTCCAGCCTAGACAGTTGAATTATGAGAATCAGGGGTTCGACTCTCCGGACAGTGCTTCAATCGAAGAGCCCCCAGTCTCGCCTCTCGGGCCCGGATCAGGGATGGATTTTTCCAATCTGGCAAGACATTCTGTCGTCTCGGTTTCCCCGCCCATGTCTCCTGTTACGAGTCATCGCGACAGTCGAGGCATCGATGCCCGTTCCTCGTTTAGCAACGCATCTGCGCCTACCCCTACATGGAGCGACGCGAGCTTGCGGTCCTACCTGGAAGAGGAGAACGATATCCGTGACTTGTTCGTCATCGTCCACGACAACTCGAATATTCCGCCAGCTGGACCCGATCACCCGATCACCGGCTGCCTCTTCAAGGAAGAGAGCAAGCGGTTGCGCGAAATGAGCAGCCAGCTGGATTCCATGCTGGCTGAATGGGTGGGTCGACGAGTGCGGGAGTCGGCAAGTAGAGCGGATGTGCGGTCTCAGGCTTGATGCCTGTCGTAGAAGGTGGATTGTCCATCGTCGATGAACTTTTCGTCCCGCTTCCTAACCACCCCATAGGCTCTGTGAACTTGCCATGTGCTGGCCACATGGAAAGGGTTGGCCTATGGTGGACTGTTTGCCGCTCTAGTAGGTACACCACGAGTGCGGCCCTGGAGCGGCTGTGGTGTTTATAGGATCGTATAGTTCTGACTTTTCCTTTGTTTGCATTTCGTTCTGTCCAGTCTCATGAACTGGTTCTTATGTTTTGTTCTTTCTTTCCAGCCTACTCTACATGGCTGCTGGGATACCCCGAACTTCAGGCCATCTAGACCAGATCCTGTTGTTTTTATTTTTGAATATTTTTATGAAGAGATGTTCATTTCAAATTTGCATTTGCATCTGCGCTTGCATCTGCGTATTGTGGTTTGGATGAGAGGACTGCATGATCTCTGTGTATGTGGGAAGAATCGAGGTATATGATATGAGGTGCGTCGAGTGATGGTGGAACGTGGGCTCAAGTGCATCTCGGGAGGGCTGAATTGGGGCAAGGCTGTCGTGCGGAACCGTCAGCTGGCCCTCCTTCGCTTCTGCCATGTCATCTCCATTCCATTGTACAGTACCCAGCGTAAGCCGTAGTCAATGTTTGTTTTGCGGCACGAGAGATAAAAACCTGTCAACCAGCCAAGGTCCGTCAGCGTTAGCCCCGAGATCAAACCTCTCTCTCCCTCTATAACCAACCTAGACAGTCGTCAAAATGGGCGACCCATACTCCACCTCCACCTCCTCCCCACCCCCACCAGCGCAGCAGCAGCAGCAGCAGCAGTATGACTATGACTATGACTATAACTATAACTACAACTACAACGCCCCGCCGCCTACCTCCTCTTCCTCCTCCGCTTACCACGACCAGTACCCCCAGCACTACGGCCACACCTCGCAATACGATGTATCCCAGATCCCCCGCTCCCATCCCGACGACGCTGGCGGAGCTTTAGTCCCAGCCCCAGCCCCAGATCCGCAGCAGTACCCTGACTACGACCACGACCGTCTAGGCCCGCAATATGAGCCTCCGCCGCCGCCTCTGCCCCAGTCCCACGGGTACGGGATCGGACGGCAGGGGAGTAATGCGGAGTATTAGTGGGTTTCTCCCTCCCCTCTACTGGTTTCCTTTTGGCTGCTTTCTCGCGGGACTGAGTCCCTGGGTTTTGTTTCTCTGCATGGTATCGCGTGGCAGACAGGGATCGATCGCATGGCAGACTTTTAGGGCCAACCCGATGTGTTCGAGATGAAGTACAGCGACTAACAATAGCGAGCGGGCTACTAGCAACCAATCCCACCACGACGACCTCCCCCAGTCCCACAACCCACTACCGTCCCAACGAGACGACGAGGGTGTCGACCCCGAGTCCACTGACCGGGGTCTGGGGGGTGCCATCCTCGGTGGCACCACGGGGTATTACCTGGGCCATAAGAAGAGCCATGGACTGCTCGGGGCGGTGGGCGGGGCGATTCTGGGTAGTTTGATGGAGAATAAATTGAAGGGGGCGGGAAGGAAGGAGGATCATGGTGGTGGTGGTGGTGATGGGGGGAGTACCTACGGTGCTGGGGGAAGTCATTATAGTGTGAGTGACGATGAAAGGGGGAGTCATTATAGTCATGGTCATAGTCATCGGAGTAGTCATAGTCATAGTCATAGTCATAGTCATAGTCATAGTCATCAGCGGCATGAGCATGGGCATGGACATGGGCATCATCACCATCATCATCACCATCGGCATCATCGGCATAGGCATCATCGGAGTTCGTCGAGGAGGAGTAGTTCGAGGGAGGGGGAGGGGAGGTATTGATTGATGGGAGAGAGTTTGGTAGTTGATTGGGTATGCTGTTGGAGATGGGGCTTTGTTTGTGGATGATGAGTATTTGTTGATTTATGGACAGTCCTTGGTGGTTACGCAATTGATTGCTGTTCTTGCCGATGTTCTTGGGGAAGTCTCTTGCTTGAGCGCTTGTCACATAGTAATGGTGGAGAGAAGGGTGGATAAATCTATCAGACCCTGTCAGTGAGTCAGCTTTTCGGTTACATTAAGGTGTACAGCTGCCTGCACTGATACGGTACGGTGCTGTGCTGTGCGGTGTGGTGCGATGATGCCCTGCGGTGTAAGTGCTACCATCTCGCTGGGGGCTTATGTCCGAGGACATCATTCACTTTTTTTATAGTGCCAATGCAGAATGACACCAGCACGGACACATCTTAGCATCGCATCAGGATGATGAAGAGAATGACGACAATGCCGTGTGGGATATCACCATTGTTGCGGCCGGTGCCTTGCAGGAGATTAGCGCCAATTGGACCCTGGTTCGGTGGCTGGATCGGAATCGGGGGGAGAGGGGAACCTCATGTCAAGACCAGATCCATCCAAGATAAGTCCAACGTCGAGATTAGTACAATTGCAAGACAGCAAAGTGTCGGGACATTGAGTAAGGAGTCGATCGTCAGGAGGGAAGCTTCAGACGGGGTCTTGAGACATCTGTCAGTGATTGCGTGGTCGCTGTCAAACAACACGATTCTTGATTTGTATCGGGAGCACTTGTTTCGCCCAGTTGTTAGAGCCGCGATCAAACTCAAACGGAGAATCTGTGGCTGGATGACGTGGAGCTGAAGAAAGCCAGAGGTCATCTTGCGGCTATGAAAGGGATAATCCATGTCATCATACTGCGAAGCGCCCTGTTATGGTTATCGTGTGGAGATCCCGCATTCCATGGAATTAATTCCCCATGGACTGGCTGCCTTGCAAAACGGATCGGATCGGAGCTGGGATAGAGTGGAGGGGCATGGATCCTCCTTATCAGGCTCGGATGATGGTGGCTGAGTGGGATCGACAGTCAGCTGCTGCTGCTCTAAGGAAGGCAGGGGGATGAATTGATGAATTGATCAATTGATCATTTTTGATCGAATGATCGAATTATTCTAATGATAATCACAGTTAGTCAGTGGATGAGTGGTGCCGACCCTTCTCCGAGAACCCAATCAGGGCCAGGCGATAGTCCTATCTATCAAAAGGGACGCCTCGTGACTGCATCCCCAAACGGAGTGTGACTCTTTCCTTCTCCAGTCACTTCTTCGCTTCCTCTTTCGTCAACTATCAGCATTCTCCATTCCCCCTTCTTCTCCTCCTTCTCTTTCTCCCCAACTCCCCTTCTTCCTTCTCTTTCATCCTCACCCTCTCTCACACTCTCTCTCTTCTTAGACAACCATCTTTGTCACTCATTTCCCCGGCTCCACCGTTTGTCTTATCCCGATAGATAGAACCACTACACCACTACAGCCCTATTCCGTCTTATCTACGCCTACGCCTCTTATCATATCAATCCCTCCTCTCAGACAGGCCTCAAGACCGCTGCCCAACTATCAGCACGCTAGAATAAAGACAACCTGATTACCCCAGTCGAATTGTTTTAGACGAGACCATCCAGTCGACCCCATACAATGCCTCCTCCTTTGATACAATACCTGCAACCGGCGCTGCCCCAGCATTGCGAACCAACCTCGCCTTTCCTCGCTGCCATATCCTCCTACCTTCATGTCTGCGTGCCTACTTCGTTAGCCTTGATATCCTCCCTCTTGGGCACTCTCAGCATCATCTCCTGGTTATTCGCACAGCTCCCGCAAATTTACAAGAACATCCAACTCCAGTCGACATCAGGCCTGTCACTCTTCTTCCTGGTCGAGTGGTGTCTAGGTGACGCGTGCAACCTTCTAGGCGCCTTGCTCACCCGACAAGCCGGCTGGCAGGTGATCGTGGCCGGGTACTACGTCTTTGTCGACGTCACTCTCGTCTTCCAATACTTCTGGTACACAATCTATCGACGGGGACAAAACGGCTATGGCACCCTCACCCACTCGCACTATGATAATGGAACGGGAGGGATTCTCGACGGCGTTCCCTTCTCAGAGGACAACTCGATCTCTCAAGTCCCACGTCCCCTGGCGGGCATTCCTGTGTCGAGCCCCAAAGACATGAAGGACCTCAAAGAGCCCACTGTCAGCACCCTGAACGGCCAGTCACCTTCCTACAGCAATGAGAAGTACAGCTCCTCACGCCGCTCCATAATCCGCACCAGCAGCAGTGGGCCTAGTCTGCCCATCGGCTCGCCTCGCACCCTTCTGCTCGCTTCCATGCTGTGTGCCGTGCTCGCCAACGCGGCCCCCACCGAAGTCCAAGCAACAACGACAACATCCGGCCTCTCCCCGCATGCTCTGGAAGTGCTTGGCCGCGTCATCTCCTGGATGTCCACGGTCCTCTATCTGGGCTCGCGGCCGCCCCAGCTCTACAAGAACTACTGCCGGAAGAGCACCTCCGGTCTCTCCCCGCTCCTCTTCATGGCCGCCTTCTCTGGCAACTTCTTCTACTCGGCTTCCCTGCTTACCAACCCCAACGCCTGGTATGACTTCCCTGCCTACGGCGGTGGCGGATGGGCAGATGCGGACGGCAACAACCGAGCGGAGTGGGTGAGCCGGGCCATCCCCTTCTTCTTGGGCGCGTTCGGCGTCTTGGCCTTTGACGGCACCATGGGCGTGCAGTTCCTGGTGTACGGCTCCCGCGACGACGAGTCCATCATGGAGGTCGAGGATCCCAAAGATGGTCGTAGCCACTGGACTCGTGTCCGCGGCTGGATGAGGGGCTGGATCCCCTCGGTGTCATCTTCTGCTGTCGCCACGCCTCGCAATCCCGAGAATCAGGCCCTGCTCCGTCAACATGACCGTGAAAGATACGGGGCTGTTTGAATCTCATGTTACTCAAACCAACCCTTCAGTTATGTTGTATTACACCGCCACCCAGGGTCTCCCCGGCCAAGCCGCGGTCTCGGGACCTGTTTTTCGGCCTATCAGCTGGACACGATCATCACACGACTTTATGCCTATCATCCCCCAACATCTCACATTACACCACATACCCATGTCATCAGCTTGCTCCTCGGGTTTCAGGATATAATGATCTCATTTTTTCGGGATTTGTTCCAAGTTTATCATCATTGGGGGTATTATCACTCCTGCGCGACCCTATCAGCGTACTCATACTCATCCTACCGGCGTTATTGGATTTCTTTCTGGGATCTATTTTTGTCTCTTTTGGAAAGCGAACAGGGCTTATCACATACAACACGGGGGCGCATTGCATTGATTCCACGGATTAGCCTAGCTGGCTTGATCCTTGTTTGCATAAAGGTCGCTCAATCGTTTTCACCTCCCGGTTCCAGTTCTTTTTGCCTTGTTTTTTCAATGTGGTCGAGACGATAGATTCGCTCTCTATTTTCTTCCTGGTCGATCTTAACCTGCTTCTACGCACCATCCTTACAACCATCCATCATACATACATAAGAGCGCGACCAAGGAGAACCTTGGCCAAGCAGATCTCAATATCAGACACTTTCTCATATACATTATTCCAGCTCATTTACCTAATTACTCGGGACTCTCAAACCATTAAACCGATACTTCCTCTAATGAGTATCGATTTGAAATGTCTTAATTCGACTCTTTACCACCCAGATCATTAGCCAACTATAAATCCCAGGCCATTCAAACGTCAGATAATCGCCTGGGTTTCAGATATCTCCCCCATACCTAATATACTTCCTCCAGTGTACTGTGCTCAAGCAAAAGCACCACGATAGTCGATCTCCTACCCACCAAAAAGAAACCCCCAATGAAAGAGTACACAATTGTAGGTACGTATAGAACCAAGAAATCATCATCATCAGAACGAATAAATCAGTCATTCAATTACAAATTCAAACACTATTAAATAGTCCCCGATCCATTTCTCCCTTCGTCTCTGAGACCACAACAAAAACATAAAAAAAAGCATTCGAGCAACCCTTCAGCCTGTGTTCCCTGCGTTTCCCAGAACCCCGCATTTCCCTTTCGCTCGTCGATCTCATTAAGTGTTAGTTTCAGTATAGGTACAGTACAAGTTCAGTTGCTGCGGATAAAGGCAAGGGGGAAAAAAATCTCGAAATCATGTACACAGCCAATGCAATGTCCGTGCAGGAGGTGGAAAACGAACCGAGGAGGCAATGGGTGAAAGAAGAAGAGGGGGAAAAAAAATAAACAGTGTATAAATGGAGTCGGTTCATGAGCGTGATGTCATCCCATGATTTCTCTTGGTTTTCTGTGCATAAGAAGAAAGTGGGGCGGATAAGGACATGAAGTGCAACATTTGTTAGGTTTGCCTAATGATACACGCACAGCTCGTGGTGAGAGAAGAGACTGCCTCCGATCGACCAGCGATACACGGCATTGAAGGACCGGCCGCAAGAAAGCAACCGGCTTGGAAAATGTACCTGAAGACTCTGAAACAATATATGCAACAGCAACCATTTTCACATTGACTGACAGATTTGACTTCCGGACAGGCCAGCAAAGCTCCAAAGCAGACATGGTAACTCCTCCCCGGCAAGAAGAAGATTTATCTAAAACAGAGGCGATTTGACATCTTGTACACCCCGTCTGATAACATCCTCAATCGGCCATCTGGGAGGCACAACCTTAGGAGTCCGCTTGCGGTGCCATGCCTTCTCCATCTCCGGAGGGGGCGTCAGTTCCTCATTCGCTGGTAGAGCACCACCTGCGATTCCCGTGGAGAACTTGAGTTGCAATACGTTGCCAATCTCGTCACAGGCGGTCAAGATACGATCAAGATCTTCCTTAGTGTGGGCGGCCGACACACAGAAACGGGCACGAGACGAGACCAAGGGGGTGGCAGGATAACCCACAACAACAACGGAGATCTTCCGCTTCAGCATCTCGTGGGAGAAGGCGGGCATCTTGGCAGGATTAAAGAGGAGAACAGGGATAATCGGCGAGTCGTCGTGACCATACACTATAAAGCCAAGACGCTTCAATCCCAGGCGCAGATACCGGGAGTTGAAGGCCAAGCGCTGTAGTCGCTCTTCACCCTGACCGGGGACAAGCTCGCCCTGAATCAGTCGCAGTGCCGACATGATTTGAGCCAGGACCGCCGGAGCAGGTGCTTCTCCATAGAACACGCCGGAATTCGTGGCTCGCAGTACATCAATCATGGCCTTATCTGCTGCAATGTAACCACCGTTGGCACCGAAAGACTTGGTAAGCGTGCCCATGAGAACATCTACCTCGTTGGTATCGATACCGAAATAATCACAAACACCACGGCCTCGGGGTCCGACCGCACCGATCGAGTGCGCTTCATCAATGAACAGGTTGTACTTGTAGCGTCTCTTCAATTCGATCAAGCCAGGAAGGTTGCACATGGATCCCTCCATAGAGTAGAGTCCTTCCACCACAACCAGGATCTTCTTCCATGGGCGATGAGTCCGTGGTTGTCCTTGACTGATAGCCTCACGTAGTTTCGCCTCGAGATCGCGCATGTCATTGTGCCTGAACATAGCAATGGAGGCACCGGAAAGGCGGGCACCAAATCGGATGGACGCGTGGTTCAGCTCATCCGAGATGATCAAGCAGCCTTTGTTGACGAGAGCCGGGAAGATGTTCGCGTTGGTTCCGAATCCCATGGAGAAAACCATTGAGGCTTCTTTACCGACGAATTTAGCGACCAAGTCTTCAACCTCAACATGCAGATCTTGCGTGCCGGTTTCAGCACGAGTGCTTGGTGAAGTAATTCCATATTTTCGAAGCGTCGCCTCGGCAATATCAGCACAGGGGCCTTCGGATTGTGCGAATCCAAGGTAATTGTATGAACTCAGGTTCAGTGTATCGGTTGTCGTGCCCGTCAAATAAAAGTGTCGATTGTGGTCGTCCGTGGCCCGATCAATCAGCGTGATGTATCGGCCGGGCACTCCGGTCACCGGTCTTTCGAAACAATCGTTGATGCGTAGCTTGAGGCGGCGCACGTAGAAGTTGTCAAAATCGCTGTTGAGGGCGCCATAGCCATTCCGGGGCTTCAGGTGACGGTAGTTCTCTTCGCGGAACCGCTTTCCGAAGAAATCACGCACATGTCCGAAAGCAATGAGGATAAGGTAACTGATATAAGTAGTAAGGAGATAATAATAGGGCGGCTCGTCCATTATAGGCTCCGGGAAAGGCCCGCCGGGATGTCGGCTGGAATAGCGGTGACTGTGGTGGCCAATGGGTCCGAATTGAGCATGTTGCTTGGCCAGCCGACGAGCCTCTTCGGGCGAAGGGGGCTGGAATAACGTGGTCGGCGGCTCATCCATGTTGGGATTACCCGCGGTTGCCGTCGAAAGAGAGATTGTAGGAAGCGACAGAGAAGCAGAGCTGATCGGCGGTGCGACCGTATTAGAATGAGAGCTTCCACTAAACGACTGAACAGTACTCTGCACAGTCTGAGGCTCAGCCCTTGACTTCGGAGAGGTAGAGAATAGTTGGCTTAGGCGACTAGGTTTCGCGGAGGGCGCCTTGATGGCAATGCCGCCCTTGACGGAAACGGAGGAAGAGAAGGGAGCGTTAGAAGGATCGTTGGTGAGAGAAGGACCGGCAGCTCGACGAGGCATCGCAAGGAAGCAGCCGGACAGAGACACGGAGAATCGTGCGGGTTCGATCGGAGGAAGAGCGCAGTCGGCTGGAGACGGCAAGAACCACCTGGTTGGCAGCACTCCCGATTTTTCGAGTAAAAGAAAGATCCGCTCGCTGGTTTATGTTACCTAGCCGCTTGTTGTCTCCAATTGGTATGAACAGCAAACGGCGTTCGGAGATTGTCCACCTAAATGGCCGTTGAGAACATGGTCAGTGACTTGAGCAATTGAGTGTCGCAAAGCGGCAAGACGATCAATGGGCGCACAGCGCAGAAAAACGAAAGGGAAACAAAAGGGCTTTTGTAAAAGGAGAGCAAAGTGTAAAGAAAGGAGGAATAATTGCGAAAGGTCAAGTTAGGAGAGGCCAGTTAGGAGAGGGGGGAAATGGCGGAGAATCAGAGATGATCGGTCAGGTACTGTACCTTTTGCACGTGGAGCAACAGTGGCAGGAGGCACGGAGCCCTGCAACGAACAAGGTAAAATTAAAATCCTTGAGGCCAGGAGAATCCGCACGAACACTAAACCACCAGAACAGAAAGGAAGTGCGGATGAAGGTGAGGAGGGGAGAAGAGAAGGCGGCTGTTGTTGTAGTAGTGGTGGTAGTGGTGGTGGAGGAGGAGGAGAGGAGGAGAGGAGAAGGTGGTGGGAACGACCGGGTAGAGAGAGAGTAGTCGAGTCGAACAATTCGGGAGGGACTTGTTCCTGAAAAGGTCAGGTCGAGAACTGATCCATGATTGATTGATTGAATCACTGATTTGTGCAGACTGCAGAACTACCACTGGGCAACTTACCCACGGTCATATCAGCCCATTAGGCATTATTAATGAAGAACTAATGAGAATAAACAGATTTAGCGTTCCCATCCTCAGCACGCCCCGATGGGTCCTTTTCCACTTTATTCTTTCTTTTTTGGCTTCTTTTTGATTTTGTATTGCTTTTTTTCTTTTCTTTTCTTTTTTTTTTTTTTTTTTCTTTCCCTTTACTGGATAGTAAGCGGATGTCACGGAGCGGTAATGAAGCGGTAAGTTGGACCCTCGTTCCGGACGTTTCATTGGTTGAACAGCTGGTCAAGTGGTTTTGCCCTGGTAATCTTGTCCGCAAACTTACATGGACGGAGTCAGAACGTACTGTACCGTACGGAGCTCAGTAACAAAATAAGAAAGGGGCAACGCAAGGTGGATGAACTGCCACACTGCACTTCTGTTGTACATAGTACATGGACTTGTAAGCTTGGAGCCTACCCACTCTATATGTATGGTGTACATCCTTGGATGCACGGAGGAATTTCACCGCTACTTAATTCCAGCTTATGCAGTAAATGGGTGGTTGGCTACAACTTCACTCGAGGCTCAACTGGTCAACAGACCACAGACTTATGCAGAATCGTTGCTGCCTCAGGCCAACATGCATGACTCTATACCAACTTACCAAGTTAACTACCGTCTGCTCTGACTACTTGCGCGTCTCCCTAGATTCGGCTTACATTCGCACCTTTGCCCACACAGAGTCATTTCACTGTCTACTTGGATGATGAGTGTCCTTGTTGGCTTTGTTCTTGACTCTGTTCCCCGCTGTTATCCGCTCTCTTCCGCCCCCGTTCCGCCCCGGAATGCCCCATAAAAATGCTCCAGTCGATCTATAAGTATAGTAGCCAGCCAGACCTAGAAATTGAAATACTGGATAATCACCTCAAGGATCCCACTCGTCTATCCTCACTTGTGCCAGTGCCTCCTGATTGGTAAATTGAGTTTAGGTGACAGGCAGCAACCCGGGATTCACTGGAACGGCCACCGCTACGGACCCTCGGTTCTTGACGGCCAAATTTCCCTAGATTTAGACCCATTCCCAGACAGACACAAACTGTCACCTGTTTATCTGTCAGAGGCAAAACACACGACTGGCACAGCCCATGGCTACCAACGGGGATGACTCTAAGGAGCTATGGCGACACTCGTCTCCTCATACCACTCAAATCCATGACTTCATCAAGACCGTCAACAGGGAGCATGTCCTGTCGCTGGAATCATACAACGATCTCTGGGAGTGGAGCATAGCAGAGCCAGCCAAGTTCTGGGAGCAAGTCTGGAATTACACTGCCATTGTGGCTCATCAGCCTTACAGCCGCGTGAGTATCTCCCTGCTGATGCTGATGACGCTTGTGTCACTTCGCGAAGCGGGTCTTCGAGACTGTGCTAATCAGACCGCAGGCCTTGAGTTCAGAACAGCTTCTCTTCCCACGACCTAAATTCTTCGACGGAAGCAAGCTGAACTTCGCTGAGAATCTTCTTTACCCAGCCTCGTCCCCTGACGAGGATGCGGTGGCTGTCATTGCCGCCACGGAATCGGATCGCGAATACGTGTCCTGGAAGGAGCTGCGAAATCGGGTCAGAGAATGTGCCAACGCACTCAAAGAAGCGGGCTTGCAGGTAGGAGACCGCGTCGCTGGGTTTCTGGGAAATCACACAAACACCGTCGTGGCGATGCTCGCAACAACATCGATTGGTGCCTTCTGGACAGGTGTCTCTCCAGATACCGGAGTGCACGCGGTGTTGGAACGCCTAAAGCAGATTGAACCGAAGATCTTGTTTGCCGACAATGCATCGCTGTACAATGGGAAAGTTCACGGCGCAGATGCGAAGCTGCGCGAGATTGTTCCTGGTTTGCCCAAGCTCGAGCTTCTGGTCGTGTTCCGTACCGTCGATTCTTTCGAATTCAAGCTGGAAGAAGTAAAACCGCTGCAAGGCAAGGTTGCTTCTTACGATTCTTTCCTTGCCAATGTCAAAGATGCTGCGGCCCCTCTGAACTTCGCGAGTCTGGAGCCGGATCATCCAGTCTACATACTATATTCGTCCGGCACAACGGGAGCACCGAAGCCTATTGTACACGGTGCTCTGGGAACGCTTCTCCAACATAAGAAAGAGCATGTTCTTCACTGTGATATACGTCCCGGAGACCGAGTGTTCTACTTCACAACCACGACCTGGATGATGTGGCACTGGCTTGTTTCTGGCTTGGCCAGCGGCGCCACCATAGTCCTCTACGATGGCTCGCCATTTCGACCGTTCGATGCTGAAGGTGGCACTGGGGAGATGGCCATGCCGCGTCTGATAGATGAACTGCAAATTAGTCACTTTGGCACATCGGCCAAGTATCTGTCCATCTTGGAGCAGGCATCTCTAAACCCCACCAAGCACCCTCATCGGCCGGTGAGCCTGCAGACATTGAAAGCCATCTACAGCACGGGCTCGCCGCTAGCTCCGTCTACTTTTGAATACGTGTACACAAATATCAAGGCAGACATTATGCTGGGCTCAATTACCGGAGGAACCGATATCCTGTCGCTCTTCTGTGGCAGCTGCCCCATTCTTCCCGTCTACAAGGGCGAAATTCAGTGCCGCTGCTTGGGCATGGCTGTTTCAGTCTATGACTATGCCGGCAACGACATCAGCGCCTCTGGCGAACCAGGCGACCTTGTCTGCACCAGGCCCTTCCCCGCACAACCAGTGATGTTCTGGCCTCCAGGCCCCATAGGGGCGGAGAAATATCGCAAGAGCTACTTCGATGTGTTCGGTCCATCGATATGGCACCACGGCGATTTCGTGCGTGTGAACCCACAGACTGGAGGAGTGGCCATGCTGGGTCGCAGTGACGGCGTCCTGAAACCGGCTGGAGTCCGCTTCGGAAGTGCAGAGATTTACAACATTCTGCTCAAACATTTTGCAGAAGAGGTGGAGGACTCTCTCTGCATAGGACGAAGACGTGATGGGATTGACACCGACGAGACAGTCGTTCTTTTTGTCAAATTGCTGCCGCCTGGGGCGGCTTACGAGGTCATATCGGCGGATCTTGCGGCTCGCATTCAGGCGACAATCCGCAAAGAGCTCAGTCCTCGCCACGTACCGGGAATCGTGGCCGTGTGCCCTGAGATTCCCGTGACGTCCAACGGTAAGAAGGTCGAGAACGCGGTAAAACAGATCCTATGCGGGTTGAACATCAAGATCGGTGCGAGTGTCGCGAATGCCTCTTGCCTGGACTGGTACCGCACCTGGGCGACAGCGAACACCTAGAAGTCGCTGTGTTGAGGATCGCTCGTGGATGATTTGAGTTAGGTGTCGGCGAAGTATACTGTAGGAGAGTAATTAATGATTAGATTTTCTTGTCGAGATCGAGTAACTTTTGCGTGCGTCTTTAGAAATCATGAAGCATTTGCTGCCCGGAACATATCCTTGGCTCGATCTAGATCTTGAATCATTATTAAACACATGACCAACCACCTACGGGCTTTTTTGCCACACAAATGGCACTACTTCGATGCTGCGGACGCAAAATCCTCTCATGATGCCATACCTCTGACAAGGAGATACTAGTGTCAGCAACCGTTTCATGCCCTCAGAGATCGTTGTTGCATTGCTCTCAATCTTGCCCGAGAAATCTTACGGGTGCTCACCGCTTAGATAAGCAACCCCGGCTCGGAGCCCAAATCCTTGCGACGCCTGGCCGTGACGAAACCATTTTCCGGAACAGCAGGCTTCACAAAACCGAGGCAAACACGCAAGTTTTACCTAGACATACTCATTGGGACTCTGCAATACACATACTTGAAGATGCGTCGCTCTGTATTGCGGGCTGTCGAGTCCGCGAAGCCGATTGCTCGCGTGCCTCGCTCAGCTGCGTCGAGAAGCTTTTCCACTGCTACCGACGGGTCGAAGGTACGTTGAGCGCGCAGGTTGGAGTCCTGGTTTCCGGAAATTGCGCAACTAGCAGGCTGACTCGGATTCTCACGCGTTCTGCAGGACCCCGCAGAATTAGATCAGATCACTACCCTGCCGAACGGAATCCGCGTCGCTACCGAATCCCTGCCCGGCCCTTTCGCTGGAGTTGGTGTCTACGTCGATGCTGGATCCCGCTATGAAGATGAGAGCCTCCGCGGTGTGAGCCACATCATGGACCGACTGGCTTTCAAGTCCACCAAGGGACACTCCGCCGATGAGATGCTGGAAACTCTTGAGAACCTCGGTGGAAACATCCAATGCGCCTCTTCCCGTGAGTCGCTGATGTACCAGTCGGCTAGTTTCAACTCTGCAGTTCCCTCGACGCTCGGATTACTGGCGGAGACCATCCGTGATCCCCTCATCACCGAGGAAGAGGTGATCCAGCAGCTGGCCACCGCCGAATATGAGATCGGCGAGATTTGGTCCAAGCCCGACCTCATCCTGCCGGAGCTGGTGCACACGGCGGCCTACTCGAACAACACTCTGGGAAACCCGTTGCTCTGCCCGGCGGAGAGACTGGGTGAGATCAACAAATCCGTCGTGGACAAGTACCGACAAACGTTCTTCAACCCGGAGCGCATGGTGGTTGCCTTTGCCGGCGTGGAGCATGACAAGGCGGTTAAGCTCACGGAGCAGTACTTTGGTGACATGAAGTCCAACAAGCCGGCTCTTTCGGGAACCGGTGTCGAGACTACCTTGTCTCATTCCGAATCGACTCTGGAGGAAGGACAGGTGCCCACAGTCCCTCAATTCACGCCATCTTCAACTGTTTCTACCACACCCCCCACCTCCAAGTCGGGAATTCTATCGAAACTCCCCTTCTTGAAAAACCTCAACCTGTCCGGCTCGCAGAACGATGCCGCATCGCCGCTTGATCCGTCGCTAGTGCAGTCAACGACTCTAGACTTGACTCGGCCTTCTCACTACACGGGTGGCTTCCTCTCTCTACCCCCCATTCCTCCGCCAGCCAACCCTATGTTGCCTCGTCTGAGCTACATCCACCTTGCCTTCGAGGCCCTCCCGATTTCAAACCCTGACATCTACGCCCTCGCTACTCTCCAGACCCTCCTCGGAGGCGGCGGCTCCTTCTCGGCCGGTGGTCCCGGCAAGGGCATGTACTCCCGTCTCTACACGAACGTGTTGAACCAGCACGGGTGGGTGGAGAGCTGCGTGGCGTTCAACCACAGCTACACGGACAGCGGTATTTTCGGAATCTCCGCATCCTGCAGCCCCACGCGCACGACCGAAATGCTGGAGGTCATGTGCCGTGAGTTGCAAGCCCTGACCCTTGACAACGGTTATTCGGCGCTTCAGCCCCAGGAGGTTGAGCGTGCGAAGAACCAGCTCCGCTCTTCGCTCCTCATGAACCTGGAGTCGCGGATGGTGGAGTTGGAGGATCTCGGACGCCAGGTCCAGGTCCACGGCCGGAAGGTGAGCGTCAAGGAGATGTGCCGGCACATTGAGGGCTTGACGGTGCAGGACCTGCGTCGGGTGGCCAGAAAGGTCTTTGGTGGTCAGGTCCAGAACCCTGGCAAGGGCAGCGGAAAGCCCACCGTCGTCCTGCAGGAAGGCGAGCTTGAGGGCTACAAGCTGCGTCCGTTCCCCTGGGGAGAGATCCAGGAGCGGATAGCCAGGTGGCAGTTGGGAAGACGGTAGATTGGAGAATCAACTGGAATGATCATTGAGGCTCCTAGATCAGCGAACCTCAAGGAAAGTATAGCATCCAGGAAAGGATTATTTCCTGGAAGCAGGTTGGGATAGAGCAGGCTTTTACAAAATCTTCACTCTATGTAATTAGATATAGCCTTGAACCTCAATCAAAGTGTACCATAGACGCATCATTTACATCTAGTAGTTTTCTGGGCCATTGAAGGCTGAGAGAACGATTGATTTAGAAAAATGACGATGAATAATGCATGGGCGGCGGCCAGCTCCTTACCGCTTTGAGTTCGTTTCCGCCCGGGAAAAAAGTTGGAACGGAAGTTCGAAGCCGGCGGCCGCCTTCAATCTCCGTTCTGCTCCTCTATCCAACTTCCTACTCACTCACCACCGTCTTCATCTTCACGACCCTCGCGCTCCACCTTCTATCGCAATCCAACCTACACCGTTCATACTCCTCAAACGTCACAATGGTCAAGCTCACCGAGGTCGAGGACGAGCACTTCGCCCAGGAGAAGCCTCAGCCCAGCAAGCACAACGTCCTTCTTGCCTCGGATGACGAAGAGGAGGACGATGACTACACTGACACCGGTACGTCCACCTTTCTCAAAACCCATCAAATATCGTTCCAAGAGGCGACGATCGCAATCAAAAATCATCCCTCCCGCGACCCATCCCGAATCAATCACCATCCGTCCATATCCCATCCATCCATACATCCATCCATACGCGACCATCTTGTTTCGCAGCCACGCACCCTAAACCCCAGCTCTACATTTCCCATCCATCCTCAACCTCAGAACAATCCATGCATGAAGCCCATAACAAACCGGCCAGCATCGCAAATACTGCTTCCTCAAAAAACAGAACCTCAACTGACATCCTACCTCTTTTCGCTGCACTACAGAATCCGAGATCTCCACCGAGTCCTACGAAGAGCTCGAGAGCGAGAGCCTGTACGACCGCATCTACGCCCTGAAGGACATGCTCCCGCCCTCCGCCCGCCGCTCTCTCACCTCCACCGTCAACACCGTCACCTCTTTCACAAAGTCCAGCGTGACGTTCAGCGGCAAGGCGCTGTGGATCATCAGCACCAGCGCGTTCCTGCTGGGTGTGCCGTGGGCTCTGGCCTACGCCGAGGAGGAGCAGTACATCCAGATGGAGCGCGAGCAGGGCATGATCAAGGGTGCTAATGAGGTATGCTTTTTTTAATTCCTGTCATTGTTGTTTTCGTCTTGTGGGGGAATGGATTTGGGCTGGGAAGGATTTGAGGAAAGACGGGTGAAAGATTCTCTTTTTTCTGTCTAGGTCTCTTTTGAAACCTCGAGGATCGCTCTCCATGAAGTCCTTATGCACATCATACAAACTGAGACTGCGATTGCATCGCCCGATGCGAGGAAGAACCGAGAATGGATGCTAACTTTCCGCGCGTACAATAGATGCTCACCCCCGGCGCTGCCCCCGCCGAGCAGCAGGCCCAGCCTACTCTGTAAATGCCCAGAAATTCAAAAATAAAAAAGGAAACATTCTCCGTCGCCGAAGGCGCCAAAGAGAAAAGATCGCAACAGCTTGGTTGAGGAAGTGGATCGAAGAACACCAGATTTTACTTGATGCGATGAAATCGCTTTTTATCCTCGTCACCTCCATCCCATTCCGCTCCGTGTTCCAACAAGACCTGAATGGAACTCCGGGATTGCTGGGCAGACCACAAAAAAAGTTATATACACTGGTACAGAATGCCTGGGCCTGTGTTCCCCGGCCCGGGGCAATGAAGAACCACGGTGTTTTTCTTCTTTTCCACTTTCCCTCACATCTGTTTGCTTTTCGGAAATCTTTGGCTTTGCCTTCAACTTTGGTCATCCGTCTCCACCCTCCCGTTTCCTTCCTTGGGCGATGTGTGTTGTATTTGTATAACCGGTTTCTCTTTTTCTCTTGTTTGTTTTGTTGATGTGTCTACTCCTATCACTTCTTCCTTTATTTTATTTTTTGGGGAACTCATGTTTCTAGATTTTCATGAAATGTGAATGATTTCAAGATCTGGTACTTTTGAGGGGTATATTGTGGGCGAGAGGTATGGATACGCCTCAGTCTTGTCTTAAGATGTAGGATTATTTTATCTGCGTGGACATCATTGGGGAAGTGGACGGAAACAATAAGATGGTGATATTGAAATACAACATAAGCAAGCAGGGTATCATGAAAAATGACGGTATAAAAAAAGGCTGCAGCAGAGATCCCTAACCTGGATAGGAAAGAAAAAGGACCCGAGTATGCACAGATGAGAGTGTCGAGGCGAGTGGAGGTGAACGCCTCTCTGGTTGATCTGCCTCAATCTCATAAAAATAGTCTTATGGGAATAGTGTCAAAGACAACTGAAGCAGCACGAGAAAGGGCCCTCGGCCCAGAAATGAAGGGGCGCTGGCTGGCTGGTTGTATCGAGCGATGAAGTGGGAAGGTTTCTCGAACCCAGACTGCAACAAAGCACTCGCAGCTTATCCGAGGGACTGAGAAATCACCGTTAGCAAGAGTCTCCAGACTTAATGGGAGTTTTCAAGGGTTGCTGGGCTGCACATACACTGGTTTCGCGGGCGGTCCGCAGATCGATGTGGAAATCCCGCCAGAGTTTCTTGACCTCGCCCTCCTGGACCATCTTCTCCACCGCCTTGATGGCATACTTGGTTTGTTTGCGGTGGCTCCAGTGGCTGCGCTCGAGGATGCGCGTATCGGACAGGTAGCCCTTGAGGCGCAGGTGGTCGGTCACCCACTCGTTGAGGCGAAAGCGCCAGTGGGTGAGGGTGTGGGCCAGATTCGCTTTGGTTTTGCAGTGTCTGAACAGGGTTGTTAGTGGGTGTATTTGCTGATGATTCTGGTAAAGAAACATACCGTCCGAGGTAGAAGCGCGTATTCTCGTCAGGCAAGATGTTTCCGTCGCGGTCTCTTTCGCGGCTGTCGCTTGGTTCGTTGTCGGATTGCTCCTCCTCCTCCTCCTCATCGTCATCATCATCACTGTTCTCATCCTCGAGAGGTTCCAGCGTATCCAAAGCGTAGGCTTGGCCGTAGAGCTTGATGTCAAAGGACGCCGGGTGGCCAGAGCGCTTGCACGCGTCGCACGGGTGGTTATCGAAGGTCGGATAGGAAGTCACTTCCATATGTGGTCGTGCCAGCAGTGCGCGGCGGAACTCGGCCGTCCAGACTGACGAGACCAGCTGCGATCCCGTGCGGCCCTTGACTTCGTCCTCGAGTTTGCTGAAAGCCAGTTCGTAGACTGGACTCGAGCGCGGAAAGGCTGGGTTCAGCTGGTTGTGCACCATCCATTCCACCGCGTCCTGGAAGTAATCTTTGAGTTGCTTGTAGGCGTGGCGGGTGAACTCGAAGGGCATTTCTTCGAGGCCGCCGGGCGCACCCAGTAGATCGTCTTCGTCCTGCAGGACGAAGTCATCCTCGTAGCGGTCCAAGTCGTCATTGCCGGCAATGGATGATTCGACATCGCTGTCGTCGTTTCTGCTAAGCGATCGGTGCTTGATGGCGGCCGCGGCTTGTTCCCTTTCCGCTGCGCTCTCGTTCTCCTCGGCTTCGCGTTCGTCTTCCTCCCCGCTCTCTCCTGCATCAACCTGAGATTCTTCCTCGTCCGATTCAGGCTTGCCTGCTCTGCGACGACGCAGAGCTTCCAGATGTTGCTGTCTTTGGGCTCTGGCGGAGTTTGCGAGACGGCCTCTGGTCCTGGTTTCCCTCACCACTGTAGCAGATGTCGTTAGTAGACTGTCGGATCCGGGAGAGAAAGAGAAAGCAGTACCTGAGTCTTGTAGAGCTTGGAGGTCCTCCTCAATGTCCAAGTCATCCTGGTCTCTGGCGCGACGCGGCGTCCGAGGCGTAGTGGGCAAATCATCGTCGTCGTCGTCGTCGTCGTCGTCGTCGACCTCTTCGACAGGCTGAGAAACAGTGCCCCGCCTTAGCTTTCGGCGAGGTCTGCTGACGATCTCATCACCGTCGCTGTCGTCTGATATGACTTGTAGAGATGGCTCCCTGTCGAAAGCCTCTTCTGATCTCTTTCGCTTCAGCGACGTTGGGGCAGATCGTTTGCGCGCGCTGCGAGTCATGTCGATGTCACTTTCACTATCCTGCTCTGGTGTGACAGCACGGTCGGGCGTTTGGTTTGAGTCTCCTGTTTGATTCCAATCGAGGTTAGCAGATGTCAAGTCATTCAGTCCATTCGTCCATAGAGCATACCTTCGTGGTCCGTAGGAGAATTCTGTCGGGCGGGTTGCTTTGACTTCACCGCATCCGACTCGTTGGCCTCATCTTCAGCTGACTTCTCCCTTTTGACTGACACAGAAGTCGCATGCCTTGGACCCTTCTTCCGCGAAGACCTGCGAGCGGGTTTCTGCTCCTCCACCGGTTGCGCCTCTTCCCCCTCGTTGTCAGACGTCTCCTCAACTTTCACAACCGAAGCCGGCGGCTTCTTCGCGCGCTTGCTGCTTTTCTTGCGGGCCGATCTCGAAGCGCGCTCCTGCTCCACCACCGAATGCGACTCACTCTCATCGTCAGATGATGTCTCAACCTTCACAACGGGAGCAGCAGGCGACGCCGCCCGATCTTTGTCCTTCTTATGCGTAGATTTGCGTGCGGATTGGTTCTTCACTGCCTTCGACGACACGGACTTCTTGTCTTTCGCTGGCGTTTCGACTTTCTTGACAAACGGTGACGGCGAGGCGGTGTCTGGCCTGGGGCGACTGGAGAGAATGGTGGGTTTGGAAGGATGCGAATAGCGGAGGGTGGCCCGGCGGTCCCTCTCGCCGTCCGAGGCGGTCTCATTCTGGATGGGAGAGGAGCCTATTGGGGCGAAGGCGAGTCGCGTCTGCTTCTTCTTGCCATATGTGCGGGGCATAGGGGATAGATGCGATGCGATTTGGGAGGGAAATGGTGAGGTGGGGGTGGGGGTGGGGGGTTGTACTGCACGTCGACAATGTGGGAGGAGGGCCGGAGGAATCGGGTCGGCGGCTTCTACTGACTGGGCTAACCGCGGCGGGACCGCGTCTGGGGTGGCACGAAAGCACGTGACCAGGATGCAATATTGCCTAATGTGAGAGACTACGGAGTGCTTCTTTGGAAGTCAAGTGTGGCTCATAGGAGAGTCAGAGCATGTTCGTTCAAGCGCTGTATCCCGGTGAACAAGTGCTGTGTGACACTTGATAATACTTCAGTGACAGCGCTATAATGAGAAAGCCAAAACGCACTGAGCCGAATGTCTATCCACTCTAGAGCACCCAAGCCTTTCAAGCTTCGATCAGCATATTCGACAATGAGCATATGGCAAGATAGGCAGGAATGCCCTCCAGAAACGGGCGTGGCTTCCTCAGCAGTCTCAGCCCCGCCTGTAACTTCTCACACTTGGGTAGCAGTCTCATCACTAAGGCCGTGCGAGGTTTCTCGCAGATCCTCCTTCAGTTCTTTACCTTCGTATGACTTGCAAAACTTACTTGCTGCATCTTAGACAACAGAATTGACGCCATAGAAATTTACCACACCGGCCAGTTTCGTGCATCCTCCATGTATTGTCAACAGCGATTCATTGCATTTCTTCACGCCCTTCTAAGTGTGATATCAAATAGCACCCAAGAGCATCTCCCGCTGATCCCGCATCAAGCAAACGCGACCGAGAAGCCTTGTATCGAATGCAGTAACCTTCTGGCCAGCATATCGGATCACGTCGCAGTGGCTGAATCTCACCATCCGGACGGACCAGGCTGCACGATCACCTTGGGAAATCCTGTGCAATGGAAAGCGAGCTCAATGCTTGACAGAAATGCAAAGGATGCGATCCCGGCCAAGAACGGGGTTGAGCCAGGTCTGAAGCTCACACTGACAATAACGAACATAGAGAGAGGGTCTCTGGACCTGCAGAAATGCCAGAGTATCTTCGAAGAGCTGATCCTCGAGGGGCCAGGCAACCTTCTGCAGCAGCCGACACTACTCGACCGTTCACTGGCTGCTCTCCAAGGTGGAGAGCATTCAGACCAACTTGATTTCACAGGCCAAGCCCTCAAACCAAGACAAGTGCAAGAAGATCCTCCGGATGATCAACCTATCAAGACACTTGCAAGCGATCCACACTCCCTGGGATATCATGGGATCCTGGAATACTTGCTTGGAAAGGAGAAAGGAATGAAGACTTCCAAAAGGGCCATAGAGCACTCAATCGTCGCCATGACTCGCACAGAACACAGACCTTCCTCCGTGCGTCAGAGCTCTCACAGTCTTGACTCGGACTGTGAGAACATATGTGACGGGCATAGCTGGAGGAATACCTTTGTGGCAAAATCCTCCCTGGGTCTTCAGCAAAGGCAGTGCGCGATATGTCATTCCGACACAAATGTTGTTCGGGTGGACAGACGCCGCCCACAAAAGGCAAATGAACTCGATGTGTTCTATAAGATATGCGCCGTCTTCGGGGCATCAGTCATGGTGGCGACCCTCCTTTACGTCCTGCGGGAGATCTACCGACGGCTTCGCGTGCGATACTTGCTGCTTCGAGGCAGGAACCATCGCGATCAACGTGCACCAAGCATAGCCATCAAGACAGGGTGCTCCATTCCAGCCGATGAGATGACGACCCTGATGCCCGAGGCTTCGCGAGCTTGGGAAAGACCCAGTCAAGCATCCGATATGGGGGCCGAAGTTAGCGTGTCTGGTTCAGCCACCCAGCAGCGATATAGACGATTCACTCCCTCTCAGCGAAACTCCCGCAGGAAAGTCCAGGACATCTTCGACTTCGGTTCGTCTCAGGCGTGCAAGAACAATGTGGCGACAGAGGAGAGGATTCCTGTGCTTCCGCCAGCCGCGAACGCGAGTGTACGGAGGAACGTTGGCATCTGGCAGGCTCCCAAGGGACAACGGTGTGCGGTCAACGAGGAAATGGAGGGCATCACGCACAGCAACGCATTTCTTTTTTAGGGTCGGCGCTAGCCCGGTATTCTCGAGGATCAGGGATACCTGGGATTTGATTCTCATCGGACAGGAGTCATGGGCTGCAATGGGACTAGCGAGATTTGCCAGAGACAAGGCCTCGGTTAATATACGGGTATATGGACAGACCGGCCTGGACTGTATGCATTAGGAATGGTATCGTTCGTGTGGCTGTTTGTGTCGCCCCATTTTGGCCCAGTAGACTAGCCCTGTAGATCCGGATCTCGTCGAGCCAGGAACCTTGGGGATAGCCATCTGCATCTGCGTCTGCGTCAACCTCGTGGCATCGATACGAACCTGACTGTAGGGTTGACAGATGGGGAGATCTCATTCGGGGGTAAATTGGCTTGGGGGATGGAATGGGGATGGAGGAACGGAGGAGAGTAGAGAGGGAGGGGTCTCGTGACCGGGGATGGAGGAATCTGTTCAGCTTCCTTCTTCCTCACTCTTCTCCTCTTCTCCTCTTCTCCTCTTCTCCTCTTCGCCTCTTCGCCGCCAATCGCCTCCTCACCTCCTCTCCTCCTCACCTGATCCTATCTCTATCCATTCCCCCCTCCATGTGAAAGTGCGACAAGTCTTGAATTAATCTATTTTGCCATTTCCATTGGTGGATCCCGATTAGCCCCCGTTTGGCGTTCTTACCGCGGCTGATTCGTGGGAAATGGGATGACTTGGGCCGTGTGTTGGGGAGAATTTCCTCGAATCTCGACCCCGGATTTCTCCACGATACGACAACCCCGACAATGGGTCCCGTCTGGGGAATTGCTCCATCCACCCCATCGCTGGTTTGCGCGCACCCCCGGAATCCCCACTCCACTCCACCCCGACTCAAATCCTGGAGACTGGAGACAACTGTCGGGGAAAACCTGTCAAGGTCGGTTCGTGCATGCACAGGTCTGGGGTCTGGGGGAGCTCTGGCCCCCCGCCTTTCCTCCAATTTTCGCCTCCCATCAGGGTTGCGTTCGGTTTAGCGTCCACTCTAAATGCTGCATGGGATGGTGCTAGGGCGTAGGATGGCTTGATATAGCGCTTGCCACCTGGCTGCTGGCACGCGGCATGGTAGCTTATCTGCTTATGGTCATCCTGGTTCGAGTTCGGCCGCTTCGCATATTTATACCCACAGCCCGCGTCGCCTGCTGCATCTTCTCTTCCCTTCTCTTTTCTGTCTGTGTCTTGCGCTTCCCACTATCAGTCCTTTGCAGCCCCGGTTGGCTTTCGAGAGGTGGCCCTTCAGGACGACCACCCGGTGAATCTCACCTCTTCGTTCTTGTTCTATCCTCCCTCCGTTAGATCGTCTCATATACCCCGTCGTCAAAATGATTGAGAAATTTATGTCAAAGCGAGCCTACAACTGGTGAGTCTTGCTCGTTAAGCAGGTTGTTTGCACTCTTCATCTAATCAACCGTTCTCCAGGTTCATCTCCTTAGTTGCAGCAGCATGCATGGTGCTTTATGGTTATGATGCCTCTGTCTACAATTCCGTCCAGGGCTCGGACAACTGGACGGCCTACTTTCACAACCCGGACAACAATATGATCGGAGCCGTCAACACAGCCTACACTGTGGGCGCGATCTTCGGAGGTTTCTTCCTCGGTGGTCCCATTGCCGATTATCTTGGCCGCAAGATTGGGATGGCTACTGGCTGTGTCTTGGTCATTGCTGCCACCTTCATGCAGTGCTGGTCGCCGCGGGGCAGTATTGCCTGCTTCCTTGCTGGACGCTGCATTATCGGTATCGGCCAGGGTATTGCATTGAGTAAGTGACATGCGAGATACCCTACCAATCAAGGCTTGCAGCTAACCGTGTGTGTTTTCCAGCTGCCGGTCCTATCTACATCGGTGAACTTGCACCGCCCGAGATCCGCGGAAAGATCATGACTTTCTGGCAGATGTTCTACTCCGTTGGCTCTTTCATCTGCTTCTGGATCAACTATGGCTGCACGAAGCATTCAGAGAGCCTGGGAGAGTGGGACTGGAAGCTGGTCGTCATCTTCCAGCTTCTCGTTCCCGTCATTATTCTAGCTATTCTGCCTACCATTCCCGGCTCGCCTCGCTGGTATGTTTGTCACTTTGTTTCTTTCATCTATAGGAATAAGAGATCTTGCTAACCTCCCCATAGGTACGTCCAGCGTAAAGACGATATTGAGAAGGCGCGCTCGGCTCTCCGCAGAGTCCGTGAGACCGACGAAGAGGTCGAGGAGGAGCTGCTCAAGATCCGAGAAGCCCTCGAATACGAGAAGGAGGCCATCTCGAGCAACTACAGTGCGCTCTGGAAGGACAAGTCCCTCCGCAAGCGTATGGGATTGGCCCTGGTCATCAACGCCGGCCAGCAGATTACCGGCCAGGGAACCCTCAACACCTACTCCACCAAGATCTACGAGAAGGTCTTCACGAGCGCCAGCAAGATCGCCCTGATCAACGCCCTCAACGCCACCTTCGGTATCCTGTTTACTCTGAACGCCGTCTGGGTCATCGACCGCTTCGGACGCAAGTTCCTCCTGATTGTTGGTGGTATCGGCATGGGGATCTGCATGATCATCGTTTCTGCCGTCGAGACCGAGACCCCGTCGCCGGGTGGTGCGAAGACGGAGTCGGTGGGCATATCGATCGTGTTCTTGCTGTTCCTGTTCATCTTCTTCTGTAAGTGCCGCCCCGTCGTTTGCGAGTAGGCTCCATGAGCATCAGCCACTAACGGGCGACAGACAAACCATCGTGGGGAGCCACCGTGTGGATCTGGACGTCCGAGGTCTTCTCCATGAACGTCCGCGCGCAGGCCGTGGGCATGGCCTCGCAGACGCAGAACGTCGCCAATGCCATCGTGCAGCAGTTCTTCCCCACCTTCCTCAACAACTGCGGGTTCTACGCGTTCTACATGTTCGCGGGCATCAACTTCCTGCTCGCGCTCTTCGTCTGGTTCTTCATCCCGGAGACCAAGCAGGTCCCGCTCGAGGAGATCGACGCGCTTTTCGGGGGGGCCAACCACGTCACGCAGGGCGAGGACCTGTTTGCGCACGAGAAGTCGATGCGCGTGACCAGCGAGAAGCCGTACGCCACGACGGTCGAGGATGCCCGGGTTTAGTTTTGGGGGGGGGGGGGGGGGGGGGGGGGGGGGGGGTTGCCTGAGATCGTTCGTCTGATTAGTTGCACATACAGTATTGTGGTGGCTGAAATAATAGTATTGATGATACCCGGTTGGGAATTGCCACAGTGCTCGTTGCCGTAGATTGATCCCAGTGTGCTCACAATATCTCACTCCTTCAGCGTATATACACCGTCCTCGTAACCTTACGACCAGACAATCGCGCTGTCTCGCTCACGCATTCCCACCGTATGATGGATACCCCCTCCAGATGGAACTCATATTTCCACGTAGCGCCATCACTGTTCTCCCCAGCGCCACAGACCCGATACCACCTATGCCCACTGTCTTTCCCACCGACTTCCTTCTGACCAAGTCCACCATCAAACCCCGCAACCCCCAACCTCGCCTGCGAGATTTGTATCCCATGCGCGAACCGCTCCACCGGAGGTGCACTTCCCTCATCCCCACCACCAGCCTCAGCCTCAGCATCACAATCCCAAACCTGGATCTGTCCGCTCCGCTTGCGGTCTCCTGATGGAGACCCTACTCCATCGCCGCGAAGCCGATATACTACCCGCTTTCTCCTGTCCTCTGGAGCGATACGGCTCCGGCGTGATGGCTCGGTGAAGTCCGGTCGGGGAAGTTGAGCTTGGGGTGGAGACTGGGGTTCATCCTGAAACTCAGTCTCCGTATAAAGATACTCGCGCTCGTACCCGCCCCCGGGCAGGGTGACGTAGCGGGGGTGGAAGGTCGCGGATCCGGCTGTTGTTGATTCGATTGTCTTGTTATCTGATTGTTCTGGTATCGGCGCAGAGAATTCTTCCGACTGGCTTGTTGTTGTTGTGCGGGAGAAGTGCCACGCGCCGTGGAGGGCTCGGAAGATGGCTGTTGCTGTTGCTTTTGCTGTTGACGCTTCGCCCGTGGATGCTGTGCGAGGGGTCGGGGAGAGGGTGGTGGCTAGGGAGGTCAGGGTCTTTGTGGGGTCATCGGGTGGTGGAGATGATGCCGAAGCTGGGGAGTAGGGATAGGGGTCAGGATATCTAGCCGGTATGACGGGGTCAAGCAGCGTGTTCGGCTGGTCTGCGTCTGCGTCTGCGTCCGAGTCTAGGTCTACGGTTGGGTCTGGGATAGGCAGCCGGGAAATCTCCAGCGCCCTGGCGAAGGACTCCATGAGGCCGACGTAGTCGCCCATGGGGAACTGGCTCCGTTGCCTGGTTTCGTTGCGGAGGCGGCGCAGTTGCTCTCGTTCTCGTTCGGTTTCCTTCCCGATCTCATCATCAGCAAGGGCAGGGGAGTGGGCTGGTGCTGGATGCTCCGCGGGCGATGGACTCCAGCGCGCGGCCAGGCTCCGCGCTTGCATCTCCATGACCCCCCAGTAGGGACCGCGGTAGAAGCCCACGAACCCCAGGTCCGGGATTTCGAAGTGTGAGGTGCCCTTGTGGTCGAGGATGAGGGGGATGAATGCGTCGTCGGGGGAGTATTCGAGGGTCGAGAGGACGGAGGGCGGGAGGAAGGCGAGCGAGTCGCTGGGCGTGAAGCCCGTGGCGAGGATGATCGCGGCCACATCGTCCAGGACGCTGGTCTCGCCGTTCGGCAGCGTGATCTCTAGACTGGCGCGATCGTTTGAGGGAGTCAGTTGGGCGACGCGGCCGATGGTGACTTTCACCGCACCGGCGCGCACGTATTCCGCGTAGTCGTTGCCGATGGCCACCCACGAGGGTTGCATCTCCGTCGAGATGCCAAAGCTCCCAATCCGAGCGTACTCGCTGCCCAGCAACTGGCCGAACCAGGCATTCGACCTGGAGATCTGGTCCGGCGAGAGCGGGCCGACTGCGTACTCAATTGGGCCCGGGGGGCGGCGGGCACGGTCGTAGAAGACGAGGTCGAGGGGGAGGAAGGGCACCGACGTCCCCGGTGCTTGGTTTGGGGATGATCTGGGGAGGTAGGTCGGAACCGTCCAGAACGGACGCGAGCAGATGTGATGGACTTCGAGCTGCCCAGGCCCCGGGTTCATTGAAGAGAGGTGCAACGCCACCGCCGACGCAGCCTCCACGCCGGACATGCTGCCCCCGACGACTACCAGTTTCCCAGCACCAGAACCATTAACTTGAATCCGCTCCAACAACGCCCGCAGCTCATCTATCTCCTGCACCGCAGAACTATGCACCACCCTCTCCCCCGCAAACACCCCGATCAGCCCAGGAATATCCGGTATAAACGGGCGCGCAAAGTACCCCGACGCGACGACGAGGTAATCGAAGTACTCCGTCCTGTGTTGCTGTGTGGGTGTATTCCCATCCCCATCCCTACAAAATCGTCAGCAAGCAAACCCTCATCCCCGCATCGAATCCGAGAACTGAACCCTCCCTGCACCCACGCCACCACCCACCCAGCCCCAGCATCCCCAGCCGCAGTCCCAGCCCCCCCCACCCCCGAATCCCCATGCCCACCCGCACGCACAACCCCGGTAACCTCACACCCCAGCCTAACCACCATCCCTTCCCCCTCCCCCCTGCAAAGAAACCGCTGGGCATACGCATCCAGATACCGACTTACCTGCCTCGCGCGCGGAAACATCGGAACCGCAACATCCCCTCGAAGAGCCTCCGCCCACCCGAAATCCGAGAACGCAACGGTATACCGACTCAGATTCGTGGGCATGGACGGACGGACGCCCACGGCCGCTCTCGCGCGCGGAGGTTGCGTCTGCGTGCGACTCGTGTGCTGAGCGGTGCGCGTGCGCGTGCGCGTGCGCGTGCCCGTCCCCGCTCCCTCTGTCTCGGGGCGGTAGGTGGCCCAGAGCCCGCCGATACGGTCGGTTTTCTCGAAGATCGTGGGCGCAAACATTCCCGGGGTTGTGTGGTGGAGGAGGGTTTTGGCGGTGACGAGGCCGGCGGGGCCGGCGCCTTTTTCATATGTGTTTGGGTTAGTATTAGGTTGAGGCGGGGGTGAGGGGAGGATTGGGGAAGGGAGGGAGGGTGTACCGTACCGATGATGGCCACTTTCTTTGGGTGGGGTTGGGGCATGGTGGTGAGGTGGTGAGGTGGTTTTGATTGAGGTGAGGTGAGGTGAGCACTTCGTGTTATAGATGAGAAGTTGGTGAGGGAGGGAGGGAGGGAGGGAGGGAGGGAGGATTACCCCTCACTGTTCCCCGCACGACACTGCGCTACACTGCACTAGATTTCCCCACTTGGGTAACGTATGCAGTCTGCAGGTGCAGTGCTTCCGGCGCTGTTGGCCCCACGCTGCAGATACTAAGGCTAGGATTTGTGGGAAGGGAGGCTTATCTTGTTAGTTTGGATTCTCTAGCAGTTTTCTATAGATCATCTTAACATCTACATTGCCACAAAGTCAAAACAGAAAAAAAACAGGAACCAAGTGTGTCGTTACTTTCATTCCAAATACAGGGCCCATGCTAATTGTCAAAGCAGGAATATGTGCATAGTGTACAGCCGGATCTGAGGGCTGAAGGGATATTGATGAGGAGTGAGTTGGGGGGTATATTGTTCGATCATTCCTTTATGTCGAGGACATGACCTAGAGGTGGATGAAGTTGAAGACGAGATATCGGTCCGTGATGAACGGGAGCTCCATCATGGATGGTACCTCGATCAGACGAGGAAAGTCCAGCACCGAGTGCGCTCACAGACGGTGCTGCAGCGGCGAAGCAGGCGCAGGAGTCTCCACCGCCGGGGAGGCCAGCGGCGTATACGAAACCGAAGGCGAGGCATCCTTCAACCCCAACCGGGTGACGAGCTTCTTCCACGACTCGAGACCGCGCAGGGCGTGCTGCTTCGGGGTGTCGGGGTGGGGGTCGGCGAGCGTGCGGGAGAACAGCTCGAGGGAGACCCAGCCCTCGAAGCCGGTGTCGAAGAAAGCCTGGGCGACCTCCTGGACCGGCAGGTAGCCGCCGCGGTCCTCCTCGAAGGCGAACAGGCGGGCGTTGCGCGACCAGTTCATGCGGGTGGGCTGGCCGGGGACGTGGAAGGGGTGGGCCTCGTCGAGAGGGGCGCTGAGGCGCTCGCCGTCGACGATCTGGATGTAGAAGACCTTCTTGACATCAACACAGGCGCGCAGCTTGGCCAGCGAGGCGGCCAGGTCGGCCTCGGCGTTGGGGGTCTTGCCGCTGGGGTGCGCCGGGTCGGCGTACACGCGCCCGGCCAGGTTGAAGGTGTCCAGACACAGGCCGAAATTGGGGCGGTCGACCTGCTGCACCACCTCCCACGAGGCGTCCCACGTGTCGACGTGGTTGCCCCAGCAGAGCGCCTCGTAGACGAACCGGAAGGGTGGCGACTGCTGCAGCCCCAGGTCGGCCACCCGCTGCAGGTCGGCCACGATCACGCGGCGGTCGCCCGTCGTGCGCAGCTCGCCCGTCGCCGGGTCCGCCAGCAGGAAGTTGGAGGGGATCTGGATCAGGTCGGTGTCGAGGATGCGCGCCAGCTCGAACCACCGCGGCAGCTTCTCGGTCACCATGCGCTCCGACTCCGCCCGGTCCAGCAGCCCCTCGTAGAAGGAGAAGGGCTGCAGGCAGATGATGCTCAGCCCCAGCGAGTCGCACAGCCGGCGCACCTGCTTGGCCGCCGCGGCGTGGTCGCCCTGGAACAGCGTTTTGGCGAAGTGGTCGAGATCGTCGAAGAACAGCTCAATGCCCTCGTAGCCGTGCAGAGCAGCCTGGTGCAGCTTGCCGGACAGACTGTGAATGCCCGGTCGACCCAGCGACATCGAGGCAATTCCCAAACGGTTCGGCATGTTGTGCGGTGTAGATGAGATGGGTTGAGTGGGGGGGAGATATGGAGAAGAAGGAAAAGAGGGAGAAGAGAACTTTTGAAGGGGAAGTCGAGGCCCGGGGGGGGGGGGGGATATATTTTGACCTGTCGAAAAGATATGATGTGATAGATACGAGGGTTTGGGATGTTATCGCGACGAATGGACGAATGAACGGGCCGCGTCACCTATTTCTAAGCGTTTCGATTCAGGGGGGAAGAAAAGAGGAGAGTGCTAAAAAAGCAAATGGTTGATAAAGCGCAAATGGCCGAGGGAAGGTTCATGTATTGGGGCAGATGCCTTATACTCTTTCCCACCATCACCATGATGGAGATTGTCAGCAGAACCCAGTTAGGGCTGGCGGATTGTTCTCTGCCTGCTCTGGCTAGAGGGAAGACGAAGAGAAAGGGTAAGTGGTCAGTGGTCAGTGACGGGCGGGCGGGAAAGCGCTTTGCCCCGCCCCTTCCTCCTCTGCATTTATCCGTCCGTCACAACAATAGTGCGGCAGTGGCTTCGGGAGACCGCGGGAATGGCTGCATCCTCCCTCATTCCCTTTTCAACCCTTTATCCCCCGCCCATCTGTGGTACCGTACTCTCTCCGTGTTCACGTTTTTGTCTGCCAGCCAGAGTGCTTGTTGGTAATACAATCACTCTCACCTGGCTCTATCGCTCACTATCGCCCCTGCAACCGCCACCGCCATCATGTCTGGCCTTCTCTAACACTTCCTCAAACCTTGATGCTACACACTCTCGGGTTGCGTGCCTTGGCCATGGCACCGCCAAGGTCGTACCAAGCGATGCTTCACCGCTCCCTACCAATAGAGTTTTCATGGCCCAAGATCTGATACGACGGGCAATCAAGCAAGTGCATCGGGATTTTCACCAGGTATGTCATAAACCATAGGTATGTTGACTATGTCGACTATCTAAACAATCGTGATATCCTATCCAAGACAATAAAAGAAATACATTAACAATCATTCGTAGATCATTGCTAGCCCTCCAGGCTAAAATGAAGAGGAACAAATCCAAATCCCAGGCACGGCATTAGACCTTGTTCGCCGTGTCTTCCACCTGGTGCACCTCCGACTTGGTGAAGCCGGACTCCTCCAGGTCGCGGCGGAACCGCTCTTCGTCCTCGCGCATCTGCTCCAGAACCACGCCGTGCGCCTTCCACACGGGCTTGATCTCGAACAAGGGATCCATGTTCTCCAGCGGAACACCCTTCGTCTCGGGGATCAAGAAGTACACGAAGATAAACGAAAGGATCATCAAGGACGCGAAGAAGAAGTACACGCCATACTCCATCTTCTCAAACATCTGCGGGGTGAACCGCGAGATGAGGAAGTTCCAGAGCCAGTTGGATCCCGCGGCACAGGCTTGAGCCAGCGACCGCACATTGGGGTCAAACATTTCCTAGAATGGCCGGTCAGCTTCGGTCGGTCGGCTGTGGAGCGGAGCAGCAGGGGGAGCTTACCGAGTTGATCACCCAGGGAGTACCGTTCCAGGTGGGGGTGTAAAACGCCGTCCACAGGTAGAAGAAGAAGATGGCCGCGATGCCGCCGCCGTTGAGCGAGTCAGTGTTGTTGTTCACGGGATCCGCGACCTTGATGTACGCGCCAATGATCCACATACACACGGAACCGCCAATGGCACCGATCAGCAGGAGGTTGCGTCTTCCCACCCGGTCGATCAGCCAGAGGAGCCAGACGAAAGTCACTACGGTCTTGACCACACCGAAAATGCCCGTGGTCAGCAGACTCGAGTTGGTGCCCTTCAGACCAATCGATTTGAACACGGTAGGTGAGTAGTAGTTAATGGCGTTAATGCCCGAGCCGTTCTGCCAGAAGAAGAGCATGCTGCCGAGGAACAGCCGGTACAGGATCTTCTTGTTCGTCCAGGCGGCCTTGAAAGGCTTCCAGAAGCCCAGTCCGATCGAGTTCCGCTGCGCTTCAATGGACTGGTCGATGGCACCGATCTCTTCCATCATGTAGATGTGGTCCTCGGAGATCTGGCGGATCCAGCAGAGGTTCTTGATCGCCTCCTCGCGTCTCCCACGGAGGAAGAGCCAACGCGGAGACTCCCGAACGAAGACGATACCGATGAGTAGCAGACCCGCAGGAATCAGCTGCACGGCAAAGGGGATGATCCATTGCTTGTGGCTGGGAGCCAGCGTCTCACTGACACCATACTGTTTTCGCATGGTTAGCCCGAGTCCAGTAAAAATAGCCGTAGATAAGACTCACGTTGATCCAGAAGCCAACCAGGCCACCGATTTGCCACCCCAGCTCATAGACACCGACCAACCGGCCGCGGATGGCCGGCGGGGCCAATTCGGAGATGTAGATGGGTGTGATGTTAGACCCAGCGCCTACGCCAATTCCAGCCAGGACACGACCGGCGTAGAGAAGGCCCAGACCCCGGTCGGCGTTGACACCCAGCATCAAGCCCGCCCCCAGAATGAAGACCAGGGCAGAAGCGAGCAGGCCCCACTTCCTACCCCAGAAATGCCCGATCGGGTACGCAAAGAATGCTCCGAAGAAGGCCCCGGCTTGGTAGCAGGAGACAATGTTGGCACTGACCAGGTTCTGGGTGGCCGTGGACATGGAAGCCCAGTCGAATTCGTCCTTGAAGGATTGCAGCGACAGCGTTGTCCCAATGAAGGCACTGTCGTATCCGATCATGCATGATGTGAACGAGGCGACCGCCGCCAGGAGATAGATTCTCCAGTTGTAGACCTCCTTTGGCGTCGGCCTATCCTCGACCATTGAGAGAATGCCCATGATGGATGATGATCACCCCCTGGGGTTAGACACCTGTTAAGATTTGTGTCTGGTTGGAGGAGGAGCAAAGATGGGAGAGGGCTAGGGGAAGGAGGAAACAGAGACTGTGAGCGAGAAGAAGGGAGAGAAGGCAACAAGCTCGGTGAGAAGTGTTGGAGGGTCGTGGTGATCTGAGAGAGATGTCGATGATGGTGGAAAGGAAACAAATCCTCCTCCTCGAGGAAGTGGGCTTATATAGCTCAGACTACCTTCCCCAGTCTAAGCAAAATCCGGGGTGCGGAGGGAGGCAAAACTCAGGCAAATCAAAACCCCAGATATCAAAGGACTACACCAGAGAAAGTATCGTGGGAAAACGATGAGCGGGAAAACGATCCACGCGCAGAGCAGAGAGTAAACACGCCCAGCAAATTTGCAGTGGGCAGCCAAAGCAAGCCAAGGGAATGGGAAGGAGAAGCGCAAAGTCTGTCACCACGTGTGCTGGAGGACGATTGGACCCAGACCAGCTTGGCCCTCGCCAGACCGTAGACCGTGACTAACCCGCACCACGGACAGGAAAAAGCATGTCATGTGCCCCCCGGACTGCGTCTATTGGGGCCAGCCGCCAGAGGGTGCGCTCCCCCATGGGATCTGAGGCCGATGTTCGGCCTGGCGTATCCACTCGGGCGGAACAGAAAACTTAGAAAGCAGCAGATTAGGCGAGGGGCGGGCGTGTCAGTTTGTGGGGGAGGAATGGGAATGTCGCGCGTCGCCCACAGAAACCGACGGGCTCAACCCGTGGGAAATTGAGATGCAAGCCCCAAGGCTTCGCATTCAGCGGACTCTGGGCCCAACCCTAAGCGGGAGGTAATACGAAGATCGCACACTAAGCGGGCCAATGAACAGAGGACGATAGCGACAGTGGCTGGGGAAAGTGCTTCGCCGGGCGAAGGTCTCCCCGTGGGGAAGAAGGAAGAAGAAGAGAGACTAAAGCCGCGCCGTGGGAGTTCTCGGGGATTAGCGAGTGGCGGGAAAAGGGTTCTGCCCGTTGGCTGCGTGCGTTCATGCGTTGCAGCAGTCGGCCAGTCTGTGACTCTGTCAGTGGATCCATGCCATCGAGCGTGATCCACTCACCATCAGCCTATTTTCCATGTCCCAGGGGCCAGGACCCGAGAGAGGGGCAACGGAAGAGAGATTGAGAGCACAGCACTTGGCCGTCGCCAGCAGCCAGTAGGTGGAGGTGGAGTTGGCGTTGGCGTTGGCGTTGGCAGAGGAAGAATGGAGAAGAAGAGGGGCAGAGCAGAGCAGAAAAAGGAAGAGCCGGGAGAGTGGAGGAGGTAAAAGTCAAAGCCGAAAGATCTCTCCCGCAACCAGAAAAAAAGTCTCGTGAGAGCCTCGACACCTGAGGGAGGGAGGGGATTGAGCCCCCCTCGTCATTGGCCTTAAATCTTTCCCTTTTCTCTCCTTCTCTACTCTTTCAATCCTCTCCCTTCTTCTCTTTTTTCGCTACAAGAAACGCAATTGCAGGCAATTCACTTCTTTTGTCTTCCTCTTCCAACCCAAACACCACCACCACCACCATGACCTCCACGAACAACCAACCCGAAGAGCCCATCACCATCCCCGCGGACCGGGATGGAGTCGCCTACCTGTACGGCCACCCGCTGCTGAACTCGCTCTCGCCGCCGCTACACAAGACCGTCTACGAGAAGCTGGGACTGAACTGGATCCAGATCCCGCTGTCGAGCGTGACGGGCACGTCGGAGACGTACCCACCGCCGTACACGCGGTCGCCGCCGATTGACAAGTTCCTGGCGTCGATCCGGGCGAACCCCAAGTTCGTGGGGTCGTCGGTGACGATGCCGTGGAAGGTGGGGATCATGCCGCACCTGGACGAGCTGACGGAGGACGCGCGGCAAGCCGGGGCGTGCAACACGATTTTCGTGCGGACCGACACCAACACCGGGGAGCGGCGCTACGTGGGCACCAACACCGACTGTAACGGGATCCGCGAGGCGCTGGTGCAGAACGCGCCGGACCCGGCGGCCTTCCGCGGCAAGCCCGCGCTGGTCGTAGGCGGCGGCGGCACCGCCCGCACCGCCGTCTACGTCTTCCGCAAGTGGCTCGGCGCCAGCCAGATCTACATCGTCAACCGCGACGCCGCCGAGGTTGCCGCCATCCTGGAGGAGGACCGCCAGCGGAACGCCGGCGCCGACAGCGGCAGTCTCGCCCCGATCATCCCCGTCACCGACCCCGCCGTTGCCGCCGCCCTCGAGACCCCCGCCGCCATCGTCTCCGGCATCCCCAACTACCCGCCCAAGAGCCCCGAGGAGATCAACGCCCGCCAGGTCCTGCAGGCCCTGCTCGGGAGCAAGGATGACGCCAAGCCCAAGGGCGTCATCCTCGAGATGTGCTACCACCCCGTCCCCTGGACCGAGATCGCCGAGCTCGCCGACGCCGCCGGCTGGAAGGTCATTCAGGGCTCCGAGGCCCTGATCTGGCAGGGTCTGGAGCAGGCGCGCCTCTGGACCGGCCGCGATATCATCGGTACCCCTGGGGTCGTCGATGCGGTCAAGGATATGGTCGCCAAGACGATCGCCGAGCGCACGCAGCCCAAGGCTGCTTAGTTTTGGTTGCTGATGACACAACACCTTCATGGTTTTATGATTTCTTGTACAGAACTCTAGCATACCCGGAGCATTTGCTTGTTGTTTAAAAGAATATACAAAAAAGGAAATAGATGAATTGTATATATTGGCCTCTTGACATGATTCGTGTCCCGTCTTTATAAGTCTAGTAGCCGACGGTATATTCACTGTATGCTGCTGTTTCCGTAAAGTATCTATCTGTATTGCGGGCATGACTTAGGCCCCCGGGCGGGAGAAGTCCAACTGCCGCACGCGCTTCCATACTTCGCGCACCGTGCGCTCTTGCGACTGACGTCCAGTCTCGGTCTCGGACGGTCCAGCGGGTCTGCTATTGTCAGTCACCAGTATTTTACCTTTCGGGGGGTACAATCACAAACCTAATACCAAGATACAACCGACTTCCCAACTTATACTCCTCGATAGGATCCGTCTCCGGGTTCTCGGGGGGATTAGCCGTCGTGACCAACCCACCTGCCTCAAGAAGAATGGCAATGCCCGCAGCGACATCCCTAGGGTTCCTTGGTCAGTATTTCCCTTCGAAAAGCACCGAATCAAGCAGAACAACAACTCACCACTCCCAACACCCGCCCTCCCACCAGATATCAAACGACCCCATGGCCGTGTAGGCGAGATCGAGGGTGGCGCTGCCCAGACTGCGCACGCCGTGCACCATGCCGCCCTTGCCGCCGCGGCTGCCCGTCTCGGCCGCCAGGTTCAGGAAGCTCTCGATCTTGCGGTACATGTTGCCGTCGGGGATGTCGCGGCGGTCCTTGCCCCACTCGCAGGAGAGGATGCACTTGCCGGGGGCGGTGGGGGGCATGGGCGGGATGGACGGCTTGTGGATGAGCGGCAGGCGGCGCTTCTCGTTCAGCCAGGCGCCGCGGTTGACGCACGAGGAGAACAGCTGGTCCTGGAAGGGGGCGTAGATGACGCCGATGACCGGGCGGTGCTTGACGATGAAGCCGATCGAGACGCAGAACATAGGGAAGATGTGCGTGAAATTGACGGTTCCTGGGGGGTTTAGTCTTCTACGGTTGATGGGTGCAGATGGGGCACCTACCGTCAAGAGGGTCGATACACCATGTCGGCTGCTCGTCGATCAGGTACTCGCGGGACTGGCCCTTGGCGTATGATTCTTCGCCGAGGAATCTGCATTCGTCGGTTAGTCGGTGGATCCCGGCAGGACTGCATGAGATATGGGAGAACGCACTTGTGTGCGGGGTATCGATCGTGGATGGAGCTCTTGATGAATGCTTCGACGTCTGGAATGCAGTGAGCTTGGTGCGCGGCGCTATGTTTGGGAAGCTGAAAAGAAAGGGGGGTCTGGGGGTTCTCCCCCAGAACGCCGTTATGGAAGACTTGGCCGGGGTAGGCGTTCTGGGGGAGAACCCCCAGACCCCCCTTTTCTTTCAGCTTCCTGGAGAGGAGATATTCCGGGGCGTGGTGGATAGCAATGAGGGGATCGCGCACCTTCGTCCGTCTGAGTCACAATGTCCACCGCGCTGTCTTTCTCCTCAATCGTTTGGCTTCCGCCATCGAGCCGCTTCTCGACGCTCTCGAGCAGCAGCTGGCCGGCCTTGCGCCCGAGATCCACCGCGAAGGCGTAGATCTCGTCCAGCTGCTCCTGGCTGAACTCGGGGGCTGCCATTATCACTTGGTGTTGGATGCGGGGTAGGCTGGGTCCGTCACTGGGTGGTTCGCTTCTGTGATGCGCACAGTTCGGTGCACAGTTCAGCAGAGACAGTGTCTAGTCTATAGTCTAGGGTGTATATGCAGGGTATGAGGCAGAACAAGACACAAGGATAGAGGCGAGCACGACGTTGCGATGAAGAGCGAGCAAGCTCGGAGCGGCGATAGTGAGGAGGTTTCCCGCTTCTTTCACCGCTGATAACCGACTTATCAGTGGGGCCGGCCCTGCTCCCTCACGTGGGTCATCCGAAGTTGATATGCAATTGGTAACTTAAACTATCAATGCATTGCCACTGGTTGAGTGGTTGCAATTGAACTCTATGGTTTGTACGAAGATCTAGCTTCTCTGGTTGCAAAGCTCAGTGATCTTGTGTAACTCCCTATTCATGCAATCGAATGAAAAGAACGCCAAGCAAGTTCATTTACTCTGCTGCTTTTCTTGGGTCGCACCGCTGACACAGATGAGTAAGGTTGAGGCATCGCATTTCCGGTTTACCATGAGCTCTGAACTTGCACGTTTATATTGTAAGTACTGTACCTTCGATGGCGGCAGAGAACCTTTCATTCTGCGCTTTCGTTCGCAGCCCTTTCCAACCCTGCAAAGCAATTGAAAGCAATTGACAGCAGTACTGAATCCCTGTTAAATCCAGATCATACTACAAACACCACTGTATCTATATTCTTAAACCCGAGAGGCATCCAAGAGCGTGGACCATAAGGCACGTGCATGAGTCCCAGCTCCTGCCCAGTGCCCTGCCCCAATTCTCACCACTGGAGCTCGATTGCTCAGTCAAATCAAGGCAAACAAATATGGGGAAGGGGACCGACCGATCGTCTCATGACTCGATTCCATCCTGCCCAAGCCCTGTCCGAGAAGAGATTAATAATGCGACAGGTTATGAGTGACTCAACTCCGCCAGTCAAAAGTGGAGCCGGAGCCGGCAGTTCCACGAGTCGAGGGTGATCTGGCCTAGCGAGATACTCGTAGGTAGGGCCAGTCCCAGTCCCAGTCCCCAGAATCAAACAGAATGCATGTATGCATGCATGCACCTTGCAAATGTGAATGACATAGCTAGTAGGAAAGAACAGAGCATGAGATATGGGTAGAATCCATAGAGCCAAGCTAGGAATCCCTCAAAGTCCAAGCCAATCGAATGAGAAGAGTCCAACAAAACCACAGGGCGCTGAACCAACCCCTTCCACCTCCCCACAAACCAACCACAGGTATACTGAGTGAGTGGACTGCTCACTCACCCAGCAAAGTCAAAGTCACCTGCTCCTCAGAACCTGCTTATCCACCATCCGCCGCTCAAGTCCAGCGGTATCGTTACAAGGAAGTGTAAGCGTGAGGGTAAGTGTAAGGGTAAGTTCGGCTCGGCAGGCTCGGCACCCCCCGCACTACGCACATTCTTACATACAGTAAACCGGCAAAGCGCTTTCCCTTCCGCTCGGGGAAGCCTTTTACCTCTGCAGTGCCGTGCCTCGGCTCGTGGCGCACCGCACCCACCTACCTGTACAGTACATACGCTTGCTTTGCTTTGCATTACATTCCACTGGCTGTGCATATCCAGAATAGACAGAGTTACAGTGACAAACAGCCAATCTGATTGAGCCCAAGAAGTTGCGCTGCGCTGAATAATGCATGCATACGTGCAGGATATCCGGGTTGTAAGGTCGTAGGGACCAACACTTCTCCGCCGTCTGCAACTGCGCAACCCCTAGAATCGGTGTCGACAGAGCATAGATGCGACAGAGATACAATGCAACACACGCACAGCCAACCAGAGTAGATTTCAATCCCAGCACAGCAACTACACAGCATACAATAGAGTTCCGCGGTGCAATTGTACTCAGTAGGCCTAAGACTGAACCTTGAAAAACCGAACTGAAAAGTGAAAAGTTGAAATCGGCAAAGACCAGGATAAGAAATAAGCCTTACTTCACAACACCGAAATAAATGGGTTTAACCCCGCATTTTCCGCGCGGTTTCCCATTGCCCGCACTACCTACTTACCTCTCTCCCAGTCTGACTAGTATTAAGTTCTTAAGCAGGCACGAGAACTTCGAACCCAGTTCTTTTCCCAATCGTCAACCCATCTCCTTCCCACACCACACCATACAACCTCATCCACCACAACCACAACCACAACCACAACCACAATCAAAACCACAACCTCAGACCCCCCCATCCCACGCAACAATGACCACCCCCGCCCCCAAAAAAATCCTCCTCCTCAACGGCCCCAACCTCAACCTCCTCGGCACCCGCGAACCGCACATCTACGGCAGCACGACCCTGCCGCAGGTCGAAACGGCGTGCGCGGAGCGCGCCACCGCCCTGGGCGCCACGCTGCAGGCCTTCCAGTCGAACCACGAGGGCGCGCTGGTGGACCGGATCCAGCAGGCGCGGACCGAGCAGGTCGACGCCATCATCATCAACCCGGGGGCGTACACGCACACGAGCGTGGCGATCCGCGACGCGCTGTTGGGGGTGGCGATCCCGTTTATTGAACTGCACGTCAGCAACGTGCACGCGCGGGAGCCGTGGCGGCACCACAGCTACTTCTCCGACAAGGCGAGTGGGATTATTGTCGGGTTGGGGGTGGATGGGTATACCGTTGCGGTGGAGCATATTGTGCGGAAGTTTGGGAAGTTGGAGTATAACTAGTCTTTTTTTTTTTTTTTCTTGGGGGGGAAGAGTGTGGTTCTGAGAGACGGGATTACTGGTTGTGGACAAGATTTGGGAGGAATGAAGGATTCCGGAATATGCAATGTGCAATAAGGAATGCTGCGGTACGGGAATCTTTGGTCTAAAATGGTATATAGCGGGATATGTATATGACCGGGTTGATATGTCTATTTACATGGCTGCCACTGTGCAGCGGTTGCTCCTGATTGAGCATGCTCAAATAGCCCGTTGAACCATCTTCATGGTGTAGCCCTCAGACATCAGAGCGGACCGCTCGAGCCGGACAGCTGGGCAGCCGGCAGCCAGCCGCATCAGCGCTTCGCAGCCTCAACCGCTTGAGACTCCCGTCGTACTACCCCCGGCTCCGGACACGGCACTTGCTGCTGCGTCTGAGCCAGGAGAAACGGCTCCACCTGCGTCGAATACGAGTAGATTTCCGGAACTCCCGCGTCGGGGACAAACCCCAGGTTCTGCATGAACTCGGGCTGGTTGTCGGTTCTGTAGCTCAATCAGTCACGGGTCTGGAAGCAACATGGAATGCGAACTTACTTCTCCGTCCCATCCAGCGAGGCGAGCTCATCAAACAACGCATCCAAGTCAGGCGCAATCTTGGGTCGTCGCGGCCCGTATCCGTCGATGTCCACGAAAGAGCCGAATGCAAGATTGGGGTCGCTGTAAGGTTGCTGGTACTGGGGGCCGCCAGGGTGGAATGAGGAGGTCAGGTCGGGTATCATGGGTGTGCTGTTCATAGGCTTGGCAGAGGAGATAGAAGTGCGCGGGTTGTGGGTCATAGATTCTTTGAGCTGGGATGGGGGCAGTGGCGGCTCCGTGCCATGCGTGGCGATATTCAGCGACGGCGCTGGAGTGGGTATCGATAGAGTAACGTTCTCTTCGAGATTGGGGGTTCTCATCCAGGTATGAGAGAAAAAGGCGTCTGGCGTGGCGAAGTTGGACCGGGGTTCATCCATAGAGCTCACTCGACGGGCAACTTCTGTGGGCGTTTGTAGGGTGGATGGTGGGTAAGCATTGTGAGAGACCGACTCTCTGTTCGACGCACTCCTTGGCCGACTTGCGACGGGATCAACAGGGGTAGGCACGTCAAGCGCTCGTTCGGGCGGCACGGTCCCTCCAGACTCTCTTCCTTTCACATTCCAGACTGTAGCAAGATGCGCTGAATATGACTGGAGTTTATGTTTCAAGCCCGGGTCGAGTTCAAAAGGAAGCGACGCGTTGGAGCTCTCTGATGCCGGGAATGCGGCAAATGTCAGGATCATGCCAAAGGTAGGGCACGTAGCCGACAGGCTGTAGGTCTCCATATACGTCTGGAGCAGCGACAACAGCCGCTTGGAGCTTTCGACGGCTCGCTTCTTTATTGGTAGGTCGGGGACCATGCGATCGTCTCGCTGAGATGCGATTTGCAGACTGAGATTGGTAGCGACGCTCTCGTATACCATCTCGAGCGCGAAGATATGCGGCGAAGCAATCTTCGACGACTGGTTCAGCGCAGTCCCCACACGATAAGTCTTCGGCAGGGCAGACACCCAGAGCTGTAGCTGGCGCTCCAGCGCCTCCAGATGCGATATCGGACCTGCCGATGTCTGCTTCATGCAGCACAAATCATTCAGGATGCACATCAGCGAAGTGAGGCGGTTGAATGCACTCAAGGCGTGCAAGGGGCCGCGATGGAACGAGGCCCGCGACGACTCGACCGGGCGCAAACCAGTCTGGTCTTCCCACGGATGCCATTCTTCCAGCCCGTCCTCGTTGACCGGGCCAATGCGTAATAACTCGTCTTTGCGCAGCGACGGCACCTGGCCTGTCTGCATCGCAACGAGCGTCTCCAGGATGAAGCAGCCGAGGAACACATGCTTGGATCGTGCGGTGCTTTTCCCGTCTTCAGTGGTCTTGGGCTGCCCGGTCGGTGGTTGGTTCAAACCAAGAGCCTGCGATACCCGCACAGCCTGTCCCACCAGCAACCACGCAGCTGTCCAGTCCTGCTGCCCCATCTTGACCAGGGACAAAATCAGGAGGGCCTGGACATGTCCTAGCTCGTGGACCCCATCTGCGCCCGGGATGAGACTTTTCGCCGTCGCATACAGGTGGCTCGGGTCGGGTCGTTCAGCAGAAAACTCTGTCAGCTGCCGAGTTGCGGATATTGATGCTTCTTGGATAGAGGCGAGAGTCAACACCGCCCATAAAGCTGCATGGTCTCCTGAGCCAGGGGCGGTAGGTGAAACGTAAACATCGTCATCGTCATTGTGTCGAAAGGCCGTTCGAAGGATATCGTGTTTTTCGAGAATCGGAAACCAGCAGTGTGTATAGGTAAAGTAGATGTCGAAAAGAGGCCATGCATTGGAGGGTAGCTGGGGAGGTTTCTGCATGACCGGGTCGGAGGTAGAGGTTAGGTGGGAGGGCAAACGAGCAAGAGAGGGGTGGGACAGCTCGTCGATGGTATCGGCGGAGA